GTGCATCCTATTCTCTGTCTAGGAGACATTCGCTTGAAACAAAGAGCGTTAATGTCTTTTTCAAATGAAAGCAGAAGAGGATACCCACCCAGAACTGCCTTCGTCCTTCCAGGCCAGTGTCCTGTTAGTCCTGCCACTTGGGAGCTTGCTGGTAATGAGAACCTCGGCCCCACCCCAGACCTCTGAATCGGAATGCGTTTCTTAACCCCCTGCCAGGTTATTTGTATGCTTGTTAAGTGCTACAGTCTCGACCCTAGCCACACCGGCTGTCACACTGTGCCTCAAAACGGTTTGCTTTTGCTGTTCCAGGCTTTGCAGCCCGTTCCTTCTGCCTGGACTGCTTTCCTTCTCTTCTTTATGCGGGAAAGCAGAGCTAGTCCCTCCCCAACCCTACAATGCGCCCATCGTCCATGCTAACCTTCATGGCGCGGTGTTTTAACTGTCTTTCCCTTTAGAATGGAAGTTGGTAGAGGGCAGGGCCCCTCCTCATGCCCCAGGATCTAGCGTGGTGACTGGTTCATAGCAGGTGATCAGTAAATGAGTTCATGGATGGCCGTACAAACATACTGGTAGTCACAGTGAAAATGACTTAATTAAAACACACCAAGTAGGCCAACCCAGGAAGACAGTGTTAAAAAAAATACTTGTTTTGTGGATTGAAAAGAGCATATGAGTTCCTTAATATAATACCAAAGGATGATGCTCATGGGGGAGTAAATTAGAAAAGCAAAACCAAAGAAACAGTTCCATGGTTGGGTGGAGAGGTGGGCTGCCCTTGTTAGCTTTAGGGGTTGGCAGGATTTCGATGAGAAAGCCAGGCTCCAGGATGGAACATTATGAGGTGCTCAGAAGATCAGTGATGAACCCTACTAGCTCCTTGGGGAGCTAGGGCTGGGTCAGATTTCACAGGGCTTTGAATGTCAGCCTTGCTAGTAGGAGTCTCATTCTTCAAGGTAGGAAAAGCCACTGAAAATTTTTGAACAAGTTAGGACCAGGACAAGAGTACTGTAGGAAAAATGAGTCTGGTTTAGTGTGCTCAGTAGGCACTCAAATTCTGTTGTATGAATGGACTCTGACAAGATACCTTGAACCAGTCCTTGGTGGAGAGAGCAGGAGGTATCAGGTGCTAAAAGTCCAGCTGGAAAGCCCTCACATCAGTGAGTGAGATGTGAAAACCGCTACTCTGTGCTCCCCAGTGAGCTAGACCAATGTTTCTTTTCTCAACCTTTTACAGTTGTCAGGCCTCCCCTCACCCCCACCAGGAGGAAACTTAAATTTCTACCTAAGGAATAAGATTTTGTCAGATAGGATTGAGCTTTGGAAGACCACAAACCATCATAATATGCGAGTTCTTCTGCCTCCCAAGAACCAATTTTTGCCTCCCTGTGCACAATATCACCCCCCACTGAATTGAGGGGGGCACATGCCAGATGCCATGGGAGAAAGACGAGGTAGCGTGGCATGCTGGAGGAAACACACATCTGGGGCTTGACATCTGGGCTTTGATTTCTTCCCGAACTTCTCATCTGTAGAAGTTGGATTCCTTCCATCTCTGAAATTCTGGTGCTAGACTGTCTCCTGCCTTCAGGGAATTTACGATCCAATGAGGGCGGTAAGACCGGCATTCAAGAGTAGAGTCAAAGCCAGGGTGCACTGAGAGCGGGTTCTCCTAAAAGGAACTCTGGTGAAACACGGTACTTTTGAAATTGAAATATGTTTTGCCAGATAGCCCCGCAAGCATGAGCACCTTGGTCTTTATTACCGTCAGCAGTAAAAGGATAAAGTCAATGCCAGCCCCTTAGATTTTGATCTGGTGGAAAGTTATTCCAAAATATGAAGGCATGTCTTGTCCAAGTGGTTCGCTTGCAGCTACTGCTGGCTTCAGGAGCCCAGCGTCCTGAGTGTGGGAACTACCCGTGAGCCGTGGAGGTCCGTCCTGGCCCACCCACCCTTGAGATCTGAGGTGCCCTGAGCTGGCAGACGTTCGTTTCCCCTGCTGGACCATTAGCACGAGTTCTCACGCTCTCCATGATGATCCTGGCCGCTACTTCCCAACCTTCCCATCTTCCTGCTTATACATCGCCCCTGTTTGTTTAATCCTCTGGGCCCACTGCCTACCTAGCCTATATGCCGGGAGGGCAAAGACCCGGGCTATCTTGGTCACCGTTTATTTAATGATAGAAATGAACAAATGGAGACTTGGTTTCCTGGCACAGATGTCTTCTGACATTGACGTTTAGCTTCCATTTCTCCTTTTCCTCCCTTCTCTCTCTGACTGCCATCACTCAGAACCCAGCTCAGTCACCTCCTCCAGGAAGCTTCCCTGATGATCCAAAGGTGCTGTGGTTATATGGACACACGCTTGGCACAGTAATGGCCATTTCATGTTCCCAACTGGGTGAAGTCTTTGAATACAGGACTACATGCCGTACCGATGTACTGTATAGCCCCATACGGCACCTCAGAAATAGCAGTGGTAGGGACGATGCCAACAGCTATGGATTTCAAAATCTGACTAAAAACTGCTTGTAAAAATAAGGAAGCATATTAGATCACCCTTGGAAATTCACCAGACAGACAGGCTTCAGGACTGGTTTATTCAGCAGCTCAGGAATGCCAAAGACTCAGATTCCCTCCTTCCTTCTGCTTTGTCACCCAGCCTTGGCATCACCCCATGGCCGGATTCCTTAATGGGCTGGGCTGGCTTTCAACAGCCCTCGGGGTTCTGTGCCTCCTCCTCATTCACCTCAGATAGGTGGATGAGAAAGCCTGGCTACCATGGCTCTCAGGAGAGAAAACATTTTCTCAAAGCTTCCAGTAAAAGTCATCTCCATCTCATTGGCCCAAATCGCGACCTCAACCATTTCTTGAACTGGTCACTAAGCCAAGGGAATGCGACACCTCGTGACTAACCCGGCCTATGCCGCGGCCTGAAACTCGTCTCTTGGCTTTGATTTTTGGTATATTTTTAATGTTTACATTTAGTAAGTTAACACCTTTAACCAAATAACCCCCCAAATGCAAAATGACCGTGCTCTTCATGAGATAATGAGAAGGTTTAATAAAACGGTAACAATCCCGTGACCAGATACAAAGATGAGGCTCAAGTTTAAAGTAGTAATGAGGGGCACCTGCGTGGCTCAGTGGGTTAAAGCCTCTGTCTTCAGCTCAGGTTGTAGTCCCAGGGTCCTGGGATGGAGCCCCATATCGGGCTCTCTGCTCAGTGGGGAGCCTGCTTCCTCCTTTCTCTCTCTCTGCCTGCCTCTCCGCCTACTTGTGATCTCTCTCTCTGTCAAATAAATAAAATCTTAAAAAAAAAAAAAACTGTTAAATAAAGTAGTAATGAAAAGCGTCTTGAATGTTTCAGTTTCTGTGTTTGGTTTTTATGTATGTGGTAGATTGTTACAGGATGGACCGCAGATCACATCCCAACGTCATTGAGTAGCACTCTCCCCGACTGGCTTTGGCCACCAGGACATTAGCAAGTGTGTCACTGGAAAGCACAAGAGCCCAAAGGCTCCGGGGCTTGCCCTCTCGCTGCCCTGAGATGGCAGGAGAAGAAGCCCGGGTGAGCCTGCTGGGAGGAAATCGAGATGCTTCTAACTCTTCCTGCCACTCCCCTGGGATGGAGAAAGGATACCCAAACCAACCACACTTTCTAAGGATGCATGGCCATGTGCTAATAACATTCATTGTCTAAACCTTTCAGAAGCTTGATTAACTGCAGCTCGAATAGCCTTTCCCTAAGGAGGTGCTACACTTGCTTGTAAAAATCTAAGAACATTGTGACAACATAAGACAACAGATGGAGTCTTTCCACGGTTACCTTGACATTTCTTAGCGGCATGTGATAAGCCGTTTCTCACGGAGCTGCCTCGAAAACTTGATCATAAAGTGCCCGGGAAGACCACAGTGGCCTGTAGGGACCCAGCCCTCCCACACTGGAGTGAAGAGCAGCCATCAGACGGCTGGGTTTACTGGCTCGACTGGGGTTCGTGGCTAAGCACGAAGAAGCCTCATTTGTGCCTTTTGACGTTTTGGCAAAGGACGGTACCCAGAACAGCCTTTCTGTAAACAGGCTCCTCAGCCCATTTTGGTCACTGAATTGCTGTGGGCAGCCATTTTCCCTTCGGTGTCCACCTTTTGCTGGAGACCGACCGCCATTTAAAGAGAGAAACCCTATTATGAAATATACTGTTGGACCCATTTTAGGCTGGAAGTAGGTAGGCAAGTTGGCAAGTGTATCTGGCCTACTGTCATTGTTGGAGCCGTGGCTCTGGTCTCCTGCACGGGGAGCCCCTTGCACGCATTCGCACACGTAGGTGCAAAGTCACAGAGTTAGCCTTGCGAAGCGAAGAGGTCATCTGACTCATCTTTCATTTGGGTGATTATACTTAAGTCTTCCCAGATGGTCCTTTGTCTTCTTTTTTGAGGAAAAAACCGATTGGGTAACACAGCCCAGGGCCCCGTGGACCTTTGTCAAGAGTTCCCCCTTTTAAGGGTTATCATTACAGAGAAGGGGTTGGTTACTTCTGAATGTAAGATTCCTTATTTGTGAGACAGGAGGCTTCTCAACGCAGGGTTGTTAGAGGACTGTGAATAAAGTACTAACCCACAGGAAGAAGGTAATAATACTAACCTCTAACTCCAGCTTAAGCATCTGAGATTTTTTTTGAGATGTACAGTGTTTTGCCAGATAGCCAGATAGAGATGTATAGTGATATTTGACAAATATCAGTAAGGGCCACTCTAATAGTAATCCTTTACACAAAACCTCTCGACCTATTGACTATACTCTGAGGCGATTACTAGAAGAAAGAGACGCTTCAGACAAATTATGACTTCAAAAGAAGTTGTTGATGAAGGCCTAGTGAGAACATTCATCATATCATGGTATAATTCAACCAGCCAAAGTTATCTAGTGGAGATCTGGTCAAACTGTAAAAGAAGAAGAAGGAGGAGGAGGAGGATGGGGAGGAGGGAGGAGGGGAGGACGAGGGGGAGGAGGAGGGTGGGGAGGGGGAAGGGAAGGAGAAGAGGAGGAGGAGGAAGAGAAGAGAAAGAGATTCGTAGAAGTCTAATGTTTTTGGAAAAAAATACCAATCTGTTTCAAAATTTGAGTTCAAATGAATGAAGTGGTCTGTGGCCTGTTGATATTGTTAAGGAAGAAAGAAAACTATAATCTGAAAACAACTTCTGTGTCTCAAACCAGGTCAACAAGAACACAGTGCTAGAGTGAGCAATGCTAATGCCGTTACCAGCCTAAACAAAGGAGGTTGTAGAAGGACCGAACAACATAATGGGTTGATCTACTTAGGAGAGTCCTCAGGTCTCTTCTTCAGCATAATATTGCTTGCTGTTCAACCAAGGACCCTCTGATCCACTGATCCATGACAAAGCCTGTCAAAGATCTCCGGACTCGAGGATTTTGGTGGATTTCTTATGTAGAGATTCCAGTGAAAAGGCTGTTGGAGAAACCGGTCTGGATTCTGGAATATGTTCCATTCTGTATTTTTCGATGTATGGGGCAGCAACCTCCCAGACCTGAGAGGGATAAAGCAGGGTCAGAATGTTGACGACACTGTCCTCTCATGTCAGTCAACATCAGCTTCATCGAATCAAACGTCACGAGCTGACCAGGCAGGCACCTAGCAGCTGTTTGCTTGCTTTCATTCAACGCACAATCTGTATCCATTAGACTTTGGTTGCATTAACAGCTTTTAAAATACAAAGTCTAAAGCCTTTCTAAAGTTTCCCGGGAGGGTTTTCAGCTGCTTACTCTTTGGAATCCAAACAAGCCAACACAGAAACAAAACCCAGACAATTCAGTGTGGACGGAATTAAGGAAAGTTGCTCAAAGGTATGCATGTGCGTTTTCTAAAGCAAGCTTTGACTAGCGCAATGGATTTCCTTGTTTGCTGGGTTTCCATGGCACATGTGCTCTACTCCTTACGCCCTTTTAAAAATTTTTTTAAATTTTATTTACTTATTTTGTGAGAGAGAGAGCATGCAGAAGCTAAGGGACAGGCAGAGGGAGAAGCAGACTCTCCTCTGAGTAGGGAGCCCAATGCAGGGCTGCATCCCAGCACCCTGAGATCATGAGCTGAGCCAAAGGCAGACCTGTAACTGGCTGAGCAGCCCAGCGCTCTATTCCTTCCACTCCTGCTGCTCCCACAGCCTCCTGTGAGCCAGCGGCATGGCCTCCCTTAGAACCAGACCCCCAGGAGATTCACATGCACAGGAAAGTTTGAGAAGCGGCGTTGCAGACCCTTGCTTACTCTACAGCTCCACGCACCAGCCTACTCTGTTTCAGGAATCTCCTCTTCTCAAGTTCAGGTCCTGTTTTTGATTCACAGCTGCTTTTTTTTTTTTTTTTTCTTTTTTAAGATTTTATTTATTTGATTGAGAGAGAGAGAGCCTGATTGGGGAGAAGGGCAGAGGGAGAAGCAGACTCCCTGCCAAGCAGGGAGCCCCATGCGGGTCTGGATCCTGGGACCCCGGGACCACAGGATCATGACCTGAGCCGAAGGTAGACACTTAACCGACGGAGCCATCCAGGCGCCCCTACAGCTGCTTTTTTTTTTTTTTTTAAAGATTTTATTTATTTGACAGACAGAGATCACAAGTAGGCAGAGAGACAGGCAGAGAGAGAGAAAGGAGGAAGCAGGCTCCCTGCTGAGCCCAGAGCCCGATGTGGGGCTCCATCCCAGCACCCTAGGATCATGTCCTGAGCCAAAGACAGAGGCTTTAACCCACTGAGCCACCCAGGTGCCCCCCTACAGCTGCTTTTTATCCGCTTGTTGCTAACAACCAAGAAGCATTTCCTTTCCTTTTGTATTACCTTAGAAAATGTATCCTTGCAAAGGCTAAGTTCCTCGAAAACAGTAGGGGGCGCCTCCACAGTCACTGCAGTGTTACAAACTGCCAAACATGGAAGCCCCCTTGGTGTCCATGGAGGGCTGTACGGCACCACTCCAGCCGGTTTTAAGGGTTATCTTGAGTCAAGGTAACAAACTTCTTGCTTGCTGACCTAAGGCCCTTTATCTGTAACAGAATTAACTGACTTTCTTTGAGATTTGCAGACCTCTGGCCTTGGGGAATGAAGGACTGGAACTTTCCCAGGCCCCAGAGGCCAGCAAGTCTGTTGGGAACTGCCTTGGCTTTCTGACTAACCCAGCAATCTGTATCAAAATGGTTTTCTTTTTTAAGGTCACACACATAAATGACTTTCCTGCTTTTTTTTTGTGCATCTGTAGCTCTTGCCCTCCTTTGTAGAAAGAATAGGACACTCTTGCTCCACCTCTGGGTACCAAGGAACTAGACCTCTTTGCTCAACTGACCTCCACCCTCGGCACCAAAAAACTAGAATTTGCACAACCACCAAGCACCAAGATGACTCTGTAGCTGCCATTATCAAGTCTGCAGGTAGGCAAGAAATGTCACAGACCACTGTACTCCCTTAGCTGATTAAATCCCTTTAAATAACTCTGGGTCAGGCAGAAACCTGGGAGTGGGCTTTGGGACAAGAGTCCGGCTTTTCCCCAGGTGGTGGCTGGCCTCATGAACAGAGCTCAAAGTCCTTTCCCATCAAAACTCATTTCTGGAGTCTTGGTCTTTCAAGGGATGGGCAGCCAAATTGGGGTTTCAGTAGCAGACGAATGGATAAAGACAATGCAGGGTGTGTGTGTGTGTGTATTATTCAGCCGTAAAGAAGTAGGCACTCTTGGCATTTGTGACAATCTGAATGGACTGTGAGATCAGTGTACTAAGTGAAATGAGTCAGAATCACAGATACTATGATACGTGGAATCTAGTGCAACGCCAACAAACGGAGCTCATAGATACACAGAACAGACTGACGGTTGCCAGAGGAGGCGGGTAGAAGGTGAGCAGTATGGGTACAGGGTGTCAAGAGGTACAAAGCTCCAGTTTTAAAATAAATAAATCCTGGGGATAGAATATGCAACAGGGTGACTATGGTTAATTAGACTGTATTGTCTATTTGAAAGTTACTCAGAGAGTAGACCGTAAAAGCTCTCATCAGGAAAAGAAAGAAACTGTAACTGAGTACGGTGACAGATGTTAACCAGACTTATTGTGGTGATCGTTTTGCAAAATACACAGGTATCAAATCATTCTGTTGTTCTCCTGAAACAAATATAATGTTATATGTCAGGTCTATTTCAATTAAAAAAGGCTAACCTCTCACACACCTCTCTACGAGCACCAAAGTTGGCAACACGCAAGGCCCCTCAAAGGGTGTAGGGCACAACCTGGGAATGACAGCTGTGAGGATCAGAGGGAAAAGTCATTCCCCAAGAGCAGAGCAATGGTTCCAGGGGAAATCAAGAAATTCTAGAGAACAGGAGGCCCACAAATCACAACAAAAGGCCCAAAGAACTTTAAAAAATATATTTAAAAAATAAATCAGCCTAAGGGTGCCTGAGTGGCTCAGTCAGTTAAGCATCTGCCTTCGGCTCAGGTTATGATCCCAGGATCCTGGGATCGAGCCCCCAGTCGAGCTCTCTGCTCAGCGGGAAGCCTGCTTCTCCCTCTCCCTCTCCTCCTGTTTGTGTTCCCTCTCTTGCTCTGTCTCTCTCTGTCAAATAAATAAATAAAATCTTAAAAAAAAAAAAAGTCAGCCTATGAGGCATCTGTCCCTATCGGATAAATCTATAGTCAATGAAGCCAGAGGAAATAAGCAGTAAAGAGAACCCGAATCTCACCCAGGATGACGGGCGGGACACACCACAGCGCTAGACAGACCCAAACACCTTTGAAGTAAAACCCTAGGACTTGGGATGCCTGGGTGGCTCAGTGGGTTAAAGCCTTTGCCTTTGGCTCAGGTCATGGTCTCAGGGTTCTGGGATCGCGCCCTGCATCCGGCTCTCTGCTCGGCAGGGAGCCTGCTTCCTCCTCTCTCTCTGCCTGCCTCTCTGACTACTTGTGATCTCTGTCAAATAAATAAATAAAATCTTAAAAAAAAAAAAATCCTGGGACTTTGTTTTGTCTTGAGGTCCGTTTAGTCATTGGGCTCGTTGGAGGAGGCAGTGATAACATCATGGAAATAGAACGTGCTTTTGAACAAAAGAGGATATTTTTGGTGAAGGGGATCCATGAACCTTTCATCTCATTTTCTCCTCAGGAGTACCTGTCCCAAACTCCATTTAAAGTCCTTTCTGTTTCTAATTGCTAGATAGTCAATGTTTGGATGCAACATGGGACACTTAAGAGTTTATCAAAGAGCTTTTTAGTTGCCTTGGAAGTTGCTCGAGTTCCTTTTTGTTCACTTCCAAGGAAGAGACAGGAAACAAAAGAATAAGACAGTATTTCTGCAGTCCCCCCTCCCATTTTGCTTTCCCATAATGACCCAAAACTAAGAAGGAAGCCAAGTGGCCAACTTGCCTTCTGCTCAACGAGCAGCCTGTGCGCTGCCTCAATGTCTGGAGCCATGAAGCGATCTTTTATCCAGGGCCTGCACAGAAAGCACATCAGACCATCAGCCCAACACGAACTGTGGCCAGGGTTCACAGTCCTGAAATGATGTCACACCCGGGGACCTGTTTGTCTTTACCTTACAACAGAGCGCACGAGGTCATAGACCTTCTCCAGAGGAGTGGTTGTTCTCAGGGGGCGTAGAAACTCTATGCCCTGGCAGGCTGCGAGGAGCTCGATGGCCAGCACTACGAGAAAAGTGGAGGGGACAGCTGTTTGAAGCTGACTTCATGCTGGGGGGATATAACTCACGTGGAAGTTGTCAGCCAGCTCTTGCCAACTGAGAGATGATTGGCTTTCGGTCTTTTGGTAGAAAGAGCTGCTTTGGTATTTGGTTACTATTCAAAAATTTCCTCTTCTACCCCACTGGCTGGATCTTTAACGTTTAGAAGGGGAGTGCTGTACAGGTAAATGTCTTAGTGCTCTCCTTCTTATGTCATCTGATCAAGATGGATGACATCTGTGTCCTATTCCCATTTGTTTTAGTCTTGCTGCTTCTCTTGGGGCTGAAATACCTGGCACATAGACTTTCGTCAAAGGACTGAAGGAGCCAGGGAAGGAGCAAATCAGTCTTTTGTTGCACTGCATAATTCTACAATGTTCTTTCAAGCCTTCAAACTCAAAGGCTCCCAAGCCCACTAAAACTCAAATTGTAGAAATTGGTATCTTGCCAACTTTAGGTTTCTTGATAAAACAGTCTTTACATGTTTTTTTTTTCCCTAGTTAAGAACTCTTATTAAATGTACCATACCTTGCTATCAGCTTTGAATATTGAAATCTAAATTTCTCTACTTTTGGATTCCATTATTTGCCAAGAAAATAACAAAAAAGCTTCAAGTTGATCAAACCATTTACGTGGTCAACTGAAATGGAGTATTAAAAAGATTTGGCGTCTTATCTTAAAATTTATGAAGCCCATTCCAAACTCTGGTGAGTACAGACAGGACACCATGGGAGGGGATGAAGCAATGGGATCCATTTTGGACCTGGAAGAAACTTCGCATCTTCTCGTGCAGTCCCCTCACTTTATGCATAAGGAATTGGAAACTTCAAGAAGTTGAGCTGGGGTAGACAGGGAAGACATCTGAGATGAAATCTGCACAGCAACCAAGGTAGAATGCAGAAGTGAACCGTGTGAAGGCCTAGGGGAACAATGTTGCAGGCAGATGGGCCAGCAAGGACACAGGTGCTGAGTTAGGGATGTGTCCTTGGTGGGTACAAGAATAACATGGTAGTTCCAGGGTAAGGAATGGCATGGAGAGAGGGGTCAGCAAGAGCCAGAAGCCAGATCATGTGTGATCCTTGTAGGCTACAGGAATGGGGCTGGATTTTGGTTTGAGCACAAGGAACGAACTGGCAAATTTTCAGCAGGAACATAGTGTGGTCAAAATTATAGTTTAAGAACCTCACCCTGATTATTGCATGTGGTAACTGTATTAGAACAGTAGTGAAAACAAGGAGACGATTCAAAAGGAGATGACAGAGCCTTGATTCAGTGTCTTTTGATGGTAAGTCTGATTTGCTGATGAATTGGATAGAGGATCTGAGAATGGACAAGGGTGACTCCTTAAGCTTTTGGCCAGAGCAATATGTTCAGTGGGGACAATAGGAACACACCGTGGTAGGCAGATCATGATAACAGGTGTTGGGGAAGGTGTGGAAAACTCAGAACTTTCAAAAACTGCTGCTAAGAATGTAACATGGTAGAGTCACTTTGGGAAACAATCTGGCAGGTCCTGAAACAGATGAACACAGGTTACCGTATGACCCAGCAACTGCACTCTAGATAAATGAAAACATTATGTCTGCCCAAAAACTTGTACACAAATGTCCATAGCAGCAGTATTCATACTAGCCAAAAGGTGGCCAAAACCCAAACATCCCTCGCCTGATGAATGGATAAACAAAATGCGGTATAGCCGTATGACAGAATATTACTGGGCCATGAAAAAGGAATGAATCACGGACACATGCCACCACATGGACGGACCTTGAACACATTATGCTGACCGGAAGAAGCCAGTTACACAAGATCAGATATTGTAGGCCATTTCTATGGAATTTCCAGAAAAGGCAAATCCGTAGAGAGAGAAAGGACATCTAGGGGGCCTAAGGCTCGGGGCAGGGTGGAGTAGGGAGAATGGGCGAGTGCTGGGTCAAGGGTACAAGGTTTCACAAGGTTTCTTTTTGGGATGAAAATGTTCTAAAATTGATTTGTGGTAGTGATGGCACAACTTTCTGAATATGCTAATAACAACCGAAGTGTACAATTTAAGTGAGTGATTGTGTGGTACATAAATTATATCTCAATAATAAGAGCACATAACTCTCCCACATTTATCTTAGGATACCTTCGTCCTTGCTTATCTGCCATTTCACCTTCTGCTGTTTTGGTTGCTCACAATCAACCACGGTCTGGAAGCAGGTGAGCCTTCTGATGGGTCGTCAGATGCCTCTTTCTGACAATCATCGGAAAGTCAAGAGTAGCCTAACGCTACCTCACAACGCCCGAGGCGTTCGCTCACTTCATCTGGCCGTGTATGCATTCTGTCGTCCCCCCTTCGTCACAAGAAGAGTGAGTAAAGCACAGTAAGCTATTTTGAGAGAGCTCACGTTCACCGAACTTATATTTCAATATATCGTTTTAACTGTTCTACTTGATTAGTTATTTTTTGTCAATCTCTTACTGTGCCTGATTTAGCAATTAAACTGTATCACAGGTATGTCCATACAGGAAAAAAACGTGGTATACATAGGGCTTGGTATCTCGAGGGATCAGGCTTCTCCCGAGGGTCTTGGAACGTCCCCTCCCCCTCCCGGAGAGGGGAATTACTGTAGTGATATTCTTTTGTCTTTCAACGGCTTCTGATACAATTGCAAAAACTTAGTAGCTTAGCTAACAATGCCGAAAGGAAGGCAATTTGTCTTTAAAAAAACAAATAAGCAGTAATTAAGGCGGGGAGAGATTGGCCTAACACAGCTCCACCCTAGAAACTATCTCCCGAAAGATACGGATCTGAATCTTGTTAATTCTTCCACAGTCGTTGGAAAATGTGGGGGACAGAGATAACATGCAGATAGCAAGTTAAAAGTAACACCGGGAGGAGGCTAACAGGTAAAAATCCAGAATGTTAGACTCTGACAGAAGACTGACCTGTTTTTTTAACTACTCTGTGGCATGAAAAAAAAAAATGGGAGAGGGGAGTGTTCTAGATGAAAAGAGGCTTACAACTTTGACCACCAAATTTAAAATGTGGACCTTGAATCCGGATTTGAACAAACCCACTATGCAGGCATTGAGAAATTGGGAAAATTTGAATATGTACTCAACTTGTTATGTGATACCAAGACTCACTGTTGATTTTTTTTGGATATGAGAATGGCATGATGGTGGATTAAAAAAAAGCATTCATATTTAACAGACAAAGTATGCAGGAAGAAAATAACGTGATGGGATTTGTGTGAAAATAATTTGAGAAAGTCAAGGAAAAAATGAAGCAAATGTGCTGTTGAGTTGGTGTACAGGAGGGTTTGTAGCACTAACCTCTCCACTTTTGAATATGTTTTTTTAATTTAAAAAATTAAGCCGACCAGCGAAACTGCTTAGGCAGCAGGTGTGGTTCCTAATCTTCGGAGAGCTTCAGAATCACCTGGAAGACTTGTTAAACCCAGATGGGTTCTGCTCTCTTCCCTAGAGTTTCTGATTTAGCAGGTCTCGGGCCGGGCCTAAGAATTGACCCTTCTAACAAGTTCCCAGGTGATGCCGCTGCTGCCCGTAGGGATCCCACAAGAAGAGCCGCAGATGTGGTCGTTTGTTGGTGGGGCGCGTCATCCCAGACGGGCTGGGTTTACCTTGTTCTACGTGCTCGATGACCCGAAGGGCCTTCCTTGCTGCCCATCCTCCCATGGAAACGTGGTCCTCTGTGGCGGCGCTGGTGGAGAGAGAGTCCACAGACGAGGGGTGGCACAGAACCTTGTTCTCAGACACTGCAAGAGGCCAGGGCAAGGTAAGTAAGCTGCTAATGGGAAAAATTGCCTTGTTGGCTTGCCAGTGTGCCTAACAGCATGGAGTGTCCTCTCCAGGAGCTCTTGGTTGGTATTGAAGCACCAGATGGTCCCAGATTATTTTGGGAAAAGGAAGCAGGTTGGGTTTGTATTAAATGGAAAAGGAGGGAATAGTGAGTTCTGAGATGAGAACTGATAGGAACCCTATTACAAACCCTATTTGAAAACACTGGAAGCGTTTAGCATGCCGGGAGACTAGGGGAAAATGTCGTGATGGACTTTGCCAAGTACTTGAGAACAATAGACTGATTGTGTCCCCAGAGGAGGCGTTAGGATACAGGGTGGTATTTGGGGGTGGAGACTGGGCCCACAGATCTTGTACAAAGAGATTTCATAGCTCAGACTGTTCAGTGGGGGGATTCAAGCAAGGGCTCCATGACTGCCAGATGTGTCTTGGGGAGGGGGAGGAATTCTGGAGATGGCCTAGATCAGACTTTATTGTGCATATGAGTCACTCTAATCTTGTCAATATGCAAATGTTGAGTTTCGAGTGGGGCCTGAGATTCTGCTGTTCTAACAAACTCTCAGTGGATGGCTGGATTCTTGGCCCGGGGACAACACACTAAGTGTGGAGGAGGACCTACATTCCAGAGCTCCTCCCCTGCTCCCAGAGCCTTGGAGAGAGTTTTCTCCCCTACTTTTTTGCTCCCGAGAGTGGCTGGGTGAGGTTCCGTTGTTCTCCCTGCTATAAGGGATCCTGAGATAATCTAGTAATGTAGACCAGCTGGTCGGCTCGTCCTAGACCAGAACTTTCCAGGTTTCAAGCACGGTGAGTCCCAGGTTCTGGGACCCAAAACCTGCTTTAATGGATACACAGTCTGTGGTGAGGCTTATTCAGAAAGAGAAGTTACACGTCTCTGAAAAAGAAAACTACCTGTTTCATTACAACGAAAGCAAGTTGACAAGTTGAACAACTTCAATAGGCAGTTTAGGGAAAGCCAAACACATTCAAACGAAGCTTTCCAAAGTCCCTAATGTTTTCTAAATCAGTTACATTAGTATGAGAAGTTGCTACCCTTAGAGTATTTTAATAAGGAGGTAAGTGAGTAATTAGAAGATACTAGATAGAGGACACGATGAATTCAGGGACTCCTTTGAGTTGTGGTGAGTTTTCGTGTGAGGCTTCAGTGAGGAAGGGGTTAGGAGCGATATTAATAACAGCTAATATTTATTTAGTGCTTAAAACACGGCTGGGCATAGTTCTAAAGCTTTATATGCATTAATTCATTTAATCCTCAAATCAGTCCCATTAGGTAAATTCATCACCCCCATTTTACAGAGGAGTAAACAGAGAGGATTAAGAAACTTGCTCCATATCTCACTCCTGATAAATGACTGAGTTGGAATTTGGTCCTAGAGTCTATGCTATTGATTAAAGACAGGCTCTCCTGCCTCTTGGGTAGGTTTGCCTGAAAAAAATACGGAATGCTCAGTTAATTTTGAATTTCAGATAAAAACAAATAATTTTTTAGTACAAGTATGTCCCGAGTAATTCAAATTTAACTGGGCATCCTGCATTTCCATTTGTTAAATCTGGGAACCATAGTTTAGGATTAAATACAGATTAAAATGAGATCCATATTAATTGAAGCTAGAGCATGGATTTGAAAACAAAAATGCCTGGGTTTGAATTCCGTTCCACTTACTAGCTGTCCAGTGTTGGGTAAGTCACCTAACTTCTCAGATCTTCGGGTGTTCATCTGTACAATGGAGCTAATAATAGTACGTGCCTCGTGGTATTGTTGTGACCATTAAGTGAGCAAATATTAACGAAGCCCTTAGTGCATCCTTTGTACTGGAGCCTGCTGTGATGTGTTACTCACAGTTTGGAGTCAGAGATCAGCCACACTGAAGCTCAGTTTTCATGGAGGGCATCTTCTCATAAGCATTTTTGCACATTGTAATTACATATTTATGATCTTAGTGGCTGGTATATCTAATAGAATGTACCCAAAGCTTAATCACTCAAGTCAGCTCAAGTTTCGCCATTAATTGTAGATACCTTTGTCTTTTTCCTTCTGCTAGTCTTCAAATTAAGATTAAGGAAAAAGCTACAAAGATGAATTTCCTATGTGATATCCAGTTGCGTCCTACAGAGAAATTGTGGAAACCTCATCATTTACAAACTCATTAGGTATTAGTATGTTTCAGTCTAGCTTTGTTCATTCAGTTTTTTTCTAAAAAACGTTCAAGAGACTTCTGCATTTCTGTCGAGACAGGTGGGATGCAAATGAGGTGGGGGGAAAAGATCGCATTCAAGGACAAAATTGGACGTTTTCAGATGAAATGGACAGGTTTGTGTTCTGGGGAATGGGTGGTATTCTTGGGCGGTATTCTTACCGAGGGCTGCCGCGGTGCAGTGCGCAATCATGAACCCGGAGTTGAGACCACCTTCAGCCACCAGGAAGGCAGGCAGCTCGCTGAGGGAGGGGTTACAGAGTCTTTCAATTCTTCTTTCACTAATCGCAGCAAGTTCATGGACTCCAATGGCCAAATAATCTAGGGCCTAGAAAGAGTGTCTCAGTTCACCTGGCTTAAATTGGAATATGCTTTCAGGGTCAGGAGCAATTCTAAAAAAGCTTACTTTGGCTGGGTATTCACCATGGAAGTTTCCTCCAGAAATAGTCTCTCCTCTGCTGGCAAAAACCATCTTGCAAAACAAGTTAAGGCTAATTTTTAACACTCGTAGCCCTTGTACAAATATGGGTGGAGGGAAGGAGTGTCTTTCTACAAGCAGTTGTTGACATAAAGGGACACAAAAACAAACACAGAAACATCAAAACAAATACCCAAAACCTTAAAGATGAATCATGCACACCTAACTAGGGGCCAAGGAAACATGGAACATGAAATGTTTTTTGGTTTTTGTGCTTTTTTCTGAAATTAGAGATTTCTCAAACACCATAACTATCATAATCTAGTGGTTAGTACTTTCCCTCAAAAGTTTGTGTCTGTGGGCTGCCGGGTGGCTCAGTGGGTTAAGCCTCTGTCTTCAGCTCAGGTCATGATCTCGGGGTCCTGGGATCGAGTCCCACATCGGCCTCTCTGCTAGGCAGTAAGCCTGCTTCCTCCTCTCTCTCTCTCTCTCTCTCTCTCTACTTGTGATCTCTCTCTGTCAAATAAATAAAATCTTTAAAAAAAAAAAGTTTGTGTCTATAACTAAGAACAGAGACCAGGACACCAGTTTTATTTCTTCTTCTTGTGCTTGGTAGAATTTGCTGAATGAATGAAGACTTTGTTGATGAACGACCACCAAATAGTCTGGAACAATCAATTCTGGAAAGATTTTCAAACTTTAGTCTACTCAGTGATCCTACAGCAGCATCCATAGCAAAAGGTGGCCAAGAGGCTGTTGCAAACTGATCTCAGTAGGAGCAATTCAGACTCACTGCATTGTAATGCCCTCAAGGATCATCCCATTCTGTCATGTGCTTTGCTTAAAACAACAGGCACCCAGACAAAGGCAGTAACAGACCCTTCTTGTAGATTGCAAAGAGCTGATTTATACCTACTGGACTAAAGAATGCTTATTATCTATCAGCTAGGAACTCACTCTGTGCGAGGAAGGCTCTGACTTCCAAAGAGCTGGAGATGCACATATTATGTTAACTTCATCAAGCTGGGAGTTACCCTTTTCAGTACATACAACTGTGAGCCTCTTGGGCCCAGCGCTGGCTCTTCTCCACCGAGCCACCCCCAATCACAGACCCTAGTCTTCTCTCCATTCTCTGAATCCTTATAGCAAGTAGTCTTTGCAGATACTTGGAACTTAAGCATGTCAATTGTTCTCCAGTTGTTCCAAATTTGTTTGTTGGCGATCAGAGTAAGGCAATCAGAATTTAGCCCCCATAACATCTAGCAACTGTGTAATAGGTGCTCTATTTTTACAATAGAAAAATTGAGAGGAATATTCTTTCAACTAACACCAATATTGCAGGGGAATTCCCAAATTTTACCTTATTGGAAATTCATTGATAATTAAGAATCTTTAATTGAAAAAGGAAAGTACTTTTGGCTGAAATTTTTGCTGGGTCAAGTGGTGGAAGAAGAATTTAGTTAGGAATTATCCCTCTCCCACATCTACTAATTTAATGGTAACTCTTTGTTTTTGCTCTATAAGATACCCTTTCAAGTCTAAATTATGGAGGCACCTGGGTGGCTCAGTTGGTTAAGCGTCTGCCTTCAGCTCAGATTGTGATTCGTGGTCCTGGGATCAAGTCCTGCATCAGGCTCCCTGCTCAGGGGGAGTCTGCTTCTCCCTCTCCCTTTGCCCCTCTGTCTTGCTCATTCTCTCTCTCTCTCTCTCTCAGTCTCTCTCTCCCAAATTAAAAAAAAAAAAGTCTAAATTATGTAAGTGTAGAATGGATATCTCTCCTCTACAAGAACTGATAGATGAGACAAGATTTACACAAACTTCTTGAAAGGTCTGCTCCATTTGGGGCAGCCCAGTGCGTGGAGTGGTGTTGAGGTGAGTGAGCTGAGAATTATTTAGTGTGGGTCTGACTTAACTGTAAAATGACCTGACACTGAGGACCTAAAACACACATCCTGAAGTAAGCTTATCAGAGGAACCACACTGGCAAGGTCCTGTGATAAATCAGTCTTACCCAGCTGCTGTGAAACCTGTCTGCTCACCTCAGCTAGGAATGGCTTCCAAAGTTGTTAACTCAGCACTTTCTCCAGTGTTGAGAACTAAGGCAGATGTGGGATAGGAAAACTATATTGCTAAGGGCCTGGGTGGTCTTCAAAGGCAGTATTGAGTATCTCTGTGAAGACTTTGCCAGTGTGACTCCTGACAGATCACGTCAACATCTGGAGGGAACTACACCATCAAAGAACATTCCAAAGCAGAAATAAGATGGCTCTGTGATACCCACACCATGAAGGAAAGAAGGGCTCTATCTTTGACAAATGGAAGCATTCTTACTATTCTTTGTAAAATTTGGAAACACTGATTGGAGTAAAATCCATATCAAAAATAAAAACTTGAGGTGGGGAAAGCCATAACTCCTTGACGATACTTTGGTAAGTGTTAACAAGTTGCCTTCTGTCTAGTGTGTCACTAGAACCAGGAAGGCTTGCATAAATGCCAGCCTGGGCGGGGTCCCCACAATCCCACTTGTGACATACGTCTTCATCCTCTATCAGCAATCTCAGCCCTGGATTTTAGGGCAAACATCTTCCTGAACTCTCTCAGCCAATGCTGGAAATACATCCTTTAGCCTTGAATGGGTCCACTGGGAAAGCACAGCATGTTAGATTCTGAAGTGAAATTAGGTTCACAGACCTGCCTCTGTCACTTACCCTCTGAACTTCAGGTACTTAGTCTATGAAATGGAGTGACAGAACAGAGATGCTACACGAGACGATCACTTCAGTGGATCTAAAAATCACCAGCTGGAATTCTACAGCTACAGCTTAGTACAGCAGTCAAAAGATACAGGATTATCCGTTGCGCTGTTAAGTTCTGTGGTAATGATGTTCTTCACGAACGCTATCGTGTCATTCACCACACCGTGGACCTAAAATACAAGATCAGATGAGTGAATACGTTGAAAACACGGATAATGGTGTCTGTCACACGGAGTCTGATGTTTGTCTTAGAATAGCAAGGATCTTAATAGGATAGCAAGGAAGAGAGATTTAAACTGGGATTTACTTGGGCTATAAAGCTAACTTAGCAATTCTTTCCAGTAGATGTTTCCAATCACCTAGCTAGAATGGAACTCGCTGAGTCCAAGGAAATGTGGGTGTTTGCTCTGGGGAGGATTCTTTATTACACTCTAGAGTCTGGCACCAAATGAAATATTGTTTCATTCTTGAGAAGTATATTAATCTCTCATCCAACTAATTGCCACATACAAACGAGCAGTAACATCTGCGATGCTAAACACCTCATGCCAGCTCAGGTCTTCTGCATTGTTTTAACTAAAGTTAAGCCTCACAGATTTCTTTATGATGGTTTATATCTGCTGATCAAATGCAGATAAGTTACAACCATGATGTGCCCTTGAATTATGATTCGCCCTTCCTGTGGCCATCTCTGTCAGGCTGGTTCTTGTGGTATCCAAAAGGGAGAACCAGTTAAAATTCCATTAACGGGTTAGGATGATGTTTATTACTAAGAATTTTTAAAAGTTATGTCACTAAACCAAGACAACAAGTTGTCTCTTGTGCTTCTGTACAAGAGAATTGAGCAAAGCAATTCAAGAGGAAACAGCTTATCCTAGAGAATAGAAGCTCTGCGATGACTGGACAAATGGAAGTATGGTACGAGTAATTTTTTAAAGAGGCAGTAAATGGGGTGTCTGGGTGGCTTAATGGGTTAAAGCCTCTGCTCTGCCTTTGGCTCAGGTCATGATCTCAGGGTCCTGGGATTGAACCCCGCATCGGGCTGTCTGCTCAGCAGGGAGCCTGCTTCCTCCTCTCTCTCTCTGCCTGCTTCTCTGCCTACTTGTGATCTCTGTCTGTCAAATAAATAAATAAAATCTTTTAAAAAAATTAAAAAAAAGGCAGTAAAGAAATTTGGATTATAATTGAACATTACATGACTTTTTAACACTCTTTTTCTGTTTTGTGCCCTGAATTGGAAAAAAGATTGTTTTGTTGGTTTACCTGTGGACAGCAGCGTAAGGTGTACGCATCCTGAACATGATCACAGAACCTGTGACTCTCTGCGGAAGGGGACGGCAAGGGACACGTGGTCAGTTTTTTCCACAAAACACAGCACCACATAAGCTCACTCACATGAACACGCCCAGACCTGCTATTTCAGATGGGTGGTGATCTGAGTCCAAGAGTGACCGAAACCGGAAAGCAACTTCAATTTGCCCACGGTGAGGGCGAACCGCATGAATGTCTAGAATTGATGAAAGAGAAACAGTCTGAGCAATTCTTGCATTAGAATGAACTACCATCGATGGGTCAGGACCATCCACAGTGCTGACACAAGCCCTAAAAAGTCCCAGAGCTTCTTACCAATACTCAGAAGCTTAACTCCAAAAGCAAGATTTTCCTCATTGACCGTATTTTTTCTACTTTAAATGTCTGGGTGCAAATATGTGTGGAGCCCACTGGGAATTTAACTCAAGACCCTGGGCTGACCCTAAAAAGATTTAGGCTGATAATGGAAGGGAGCTCCATAGGGGCCAATTTCTGATAGTTTTCAATCATTTTTAGACCGTTTTTCTGTCCTACTACCTAGAATGGTAGGGAGTCTTTCAAATTCACCACTTTCCGGGTAAGCTACAACTTTTGTAGTTTTTCCCTCCCAATTTTCTAATGGGGACCAACACTAATCCTACTCTAATTCTAAAACCCTGTGAACAGATTCCTAACACGCACACAGTTGGATGGGAGTCAGACCTGAGTGATCCGGAATTCTGGGTCAACTCTAGAGTGAGCATCTGTCCGTAAAATGGGGTCATTTCAAGATCAAGTGTGGCATCACTTAGAGGAAGCTGTAGCAATACTGTGTATGCCGTAGGGACTTGGGGATTTTCCTTTTCCCCTACCATCCACCCCCACCACTCTCATGTCTAAAGACCGGGTCCAGCCCACCCAACCAGCTCTGGCCGACTGAACAGTAATCCAGTGGAAGAGCCATGCTGACCGGTATCGAAGGCTTTGGTGGTGCCTTTCAGCACTTCCAGGGTTAAGGCCGCCACAATGTCGGCCTGGCGTGCAATAGCACTGGCTCTCTCCACGGCTTCACAGCCCAGGGAGGTGATCATCTGTGTCCCATTGATGAGCGCCAGGCCCTTTGGAAAGGAAGAGAGAAGTCCTTTGTGGTAGTTGTTGTAACCCATTTTCAAGCTGATTTCATATCTTTTGCTTCCGTAAGAGAAGAGTTAACCTGTCAGCTGAATGACATTTATTTATGTTTTTGAAAGTGCGGGGCAGGAATGCTTAGTAGGCAACAGAAGATTAAGTGCCATCATCTGTGAACCGGTTAGCATAAACCTGGCAAGTGAAATACGTGTTAATGTCCCCGTTCTCAAGGCAGCCATGGCCCTCCGGGGTAGACTGCATATAAAATCTTCAGCTCCTAACGAGGCTCCTTTTTTTTCCACTGGTCCTCATTGTGGACAAGACATCTTAAGACATTTCTGGTCCAAGATTCTTGGTGGAGAGCACCCAAGGGATCTTGACTCAAAGCATCTGTTAGGGATCCTTAGGGATCCCGATTTGCAGTTTACATTCTTAGGTAAGAGAACCCCTAAGCATCTGCGGCATGAAGAATCTTTTGAAGGCTTGGGGAGGAGTCCTTTCTTCAGGGACAAACTTTAAACAGACACGAAAGCCACATTTACTTTAAGAAACCAGTGAGACGGATATGAAGACTGAACATAGTCTATAAATAAAGACTTGTTAAAATGAGGAAATCTTCCTCGAATCTCTTTACCTCTTTCGGTTTCAAAACAATTGGTTTCAATCCATGAGCTTCCAGGACCTGCAGAGTGATTAAGAAGATAAAAATGGGTGTCAAATGAATTTCGAATTTCATTTTTTCTATTTCCAATTTCACAAGGAATTGATAAAATATCCTTAAGCCTAAAGATCTGTCTTATAAAGGTTAGACCTACATAAATTGGTTCTGTTCTTCTACTCTGGTCTACTCTCTTGTTCTATTCTTTAGTCTGAAAGCCGACTTCCAGTTCACGTAATTTTTATACTTAAAGCAGGGGCTTTAGTGTCTGAGGATATAACCCTGCGTTTGAGTTTCTAGGTCCTTTGTATTCAGCTTCCACGTTAGGGACTCACTTTTTCTCCTGCTGCTTCCTCAGCACAGACGAGCACCTCTACTGTACTGAGGCTTTGTTCCCAATTGTCCACAATTCTCTGCCTCCAGAGCTTGACTTAAAAAGTCCTCCACCCTCGGCCTACTGATCTAAGCACTGGCAGAATTATCTTCTCCCGAATAAAGGAGGTGAAACAGTCACTGTGCTAAGGACCCTCGAGGAAGGAAGGAAGGCAGAGTCAGCACCATTCATCGTGTCCATTTCACAAGTGTATTGGGGGTACTTGTTACTCACCAGACTGTTTTGGGGGGTCAGCCTAGGGCTGGCCTAGGAAAATTGAGACAGACTAGCTCAGGGGCAATTCCAGAATGAGAACATGTTAAGCAATCTAGGAAGGAAGTGCATGGGGTTTGCTGGAAAATGAGCACTGAAGATGCTAGGAGAGCAGAAAGGAGGGGTTCAAGGCATTTGGAGGGGAGGGGAAAGACCCAGAGGACTCCTTGGAGGGAGGAGGAGCAGGAGGGAGTGGGAAAGAGAAGAATGAGCATATGTTGGTCCCTCTGTCCCAGACACAGCACATCCCACTCTAGAACCGAGGGGGAGGAATTCGACCAATAAGACTCTTAGAAGCCACGCTGAGTTTAGACCTTATTCTAAGGACAATGGGAAGCATTACAGGCTTAAGCCAGGACATGCTGGAATGTGCTGTGTGAAGGGGGCTGGGCAAACACTATACACAGAGAAATAAAGGACAGGCTGTAGGGAACAAAGGTGATCTGGAACCTATACCCCGCCAAGGATTATCTGTTCCTTAACTTCTTCCTCCCCTTTGGTCCTCTGCCCCTTCACTGAGGGGACCTGTCAGCAGTTGACCTGAGCTAACATGTCAAATAATGCTGTGGGCTGCTCTGGTGGAATCTGGAGATGGATGAGGAAGACATGAAGGTTTTACCAAAAACGAGCCCTTCTGATTCACCACTGGGGTAGGAGCTTGGGGGGAAATGGAACCAGCTGTCCAGAGGCCATACAGTCAGGATTGTGAGCCATGGCTCTGCACTGTGAGACCAGCAACTCAATAAATGCCCACCAGTGTGTGACCTCCTGGATAGGCCCCAGAAGAGTTTTCGTTGCAGAACAAATTGCTGGGATCAACACTGGTCACTGTACCTATTCACCAAGGTGACCACCAAGTCCAGAAGCCCGATGGTAAAGAATGGGAGCTTAGAGCCTCGCCTAGTTTGACTCGTAAGCTCCAGTTTTCATTTATGAAACAGGGATAAAGGTGGCTCCATCACGGGGCTGCCATAAGGACTCAATGCTATGAAGCAGGCACCTGCGGCCGGCGTCTGGCTTAGGGAAACTACCGTGGATGGAAGTTGTTTGGAAAGTCTTACGTATTTCGCATCAGCCCAGCCACTCTTTGGAGACCACATCCTCCCTTCTCCAATGAGCCCGAGAGCAAGATGAGACAGTGGGGCAAGGTCTCCACTGGCACCAACGGTTCCTTTCTCTGGAACGTAGGGCAGGCAGGAGGCTGGGAGAGAAGGAGGCACCCATTACTTCTGGCCATCTTCACTTTACCAGTGAGACCAACCTCCCCCAGCAGGAACTAGTGTCGCTTTGTGACACAAATACCAGGGGAAAGCACAACTAGTGCTTAAGGGACCTGACTGAGCTGCTATTAAAAAAAAAGGGGGAGAGGGGAATAAGGGGGATGGGCTGGAAGGAGCACCCTCCCAGTAGCAAAAAGCCATCTCTTGTAGCCACTTTAAGTTTAGACTGTAAAGACTTGTACTCTGAAAACTATAAAACACTGATGAAGGACGTTGAAGCCAACACAAAAAAATTGGTATATTTCATGGAATGGAAGAATTAATATTGTTAAAATGTCCATACCACCCAAAACAATCTATAGATTCAATGTGATCCCTACCAAAATACCAATGGCATTTTTCACAAACTAAAACAAAGAATCCTAAAATGTGTATGGAACCACAAAAAACCCCAATAGTCCAAGCAACCTTGAGAAAAAAAGAACAAAGCTGGAGGTATCACAATCTCAGAATTCAAAATGCTCTACAAAGCTGTAGTAATCAAAACAGTATGATAGTGACATAGAAATGGACACACAAATCAATGGAACAGAATAGTCAGCCAGAAGTAAATCTATGCCTATATGACCAATAAATTCTAGGACAAAGGAGGGAAGAATATACAGTGGGGAAGATTGTCTTCTCAATAAACAGTGCTGGGAAAACTAGGCCACCTTCTTACACCGTACACAAAAATTACGTCAAAATGGACTAAGGACCTAAATGTGAGACCAGAAACCATAAAACTCTGAGAAGAAAACAGGCAATAACTACTGATATTGGTCTTAGCAACATTTTTCTAGATATGGATCCTCAGGCAAGGGAAACCAAAGCAAAAGTAAACTATTGGGACTATACCAAAATAAAATGTTTTCACAATGAAAGAAATCATCAACAAAATGAAAAGACAACTTACTGAAAGGGAGATGTTAGCAAATGATATGTCTGGTAAGGAGTCAATATCCAAAATAGAAAAAGAACTTACAGAACTTAACATCAGAAAAACCAAATAGTCCAATTAAAAAATGGGCAGAGGACCTGAATAGATATCTTTTCAAAGACATCCAGATGGCCAAAAGACACATTAAAAAAATGCTCAGCACACTCATCATCAGGAGAATGCAAATCAAAACCTCAGTGAGATATCACCTCACACCTGGAAGAATGGCTAAAATAAAAAACTCAAGAAAAAACAAGTGTTGATGAGGAAGTGGAGAAAAGGAAACCCTTGGGCACTGTTGGTGGGAATGCAAAGTAGTGCAGCCATTTTGGAAAACAATATGGAGTCTCAAAAGATTAAAAATAGAAATACCATATGATCCAGTAATTCCAATATTGGGTCCAAAGAAAATTAGAACACTAATTTGAAAAGATACATGTCACCCCTATGTTTACTATAGCATTATTTATAAGAGCCAAGATATGAAAGCAACCTAAGCATCCATTAATAGATGAATGGATAAGGAATAGGTAATGTGTAGGTATATATGTATATACATATATACATGTATGTATACACACCCACAATGAAATATTACTCAGCTATAACCAACAATGAGATCTTGCCATTTGTGACAACATGGATGGACCCGGTAGGTCTTATGTTAAATAGGACAGAGATAAATACTGGGTGATTTCATTTATATGTGGAATCTAAAACAAAACAAAACAAAAGAACAAGAAACAGACTCCTAAATATAGAGAATAAGTTGATGGTTGACAGAGGTGGGGGCACTGGGCAAAATGGGTGAAGGGGAGAGGAAGGGGTATAGGCTTCCATTTATGGAATGAGTAAGTCATGATGATGAAAGGTACAGCATAGGAAATACATATTTTCTTAAAGTTTAGACTCTAGACTCTATCCTCAGAACAATGGAAAGCATTACATATTTTAGACAGGACATACTCAGATTTGCTGTGTGAAGGTGGTTGGGGGTACACTGTATATAGAGAAACAAACCAGATCAGGCTGTATGGAAGAAAGATGACCCCCATCACCATAAGGATCATCTATTAACTTTTTCCTCTTTCTTGGTTCTCTACCCCTTTGTATTCACTGTGTATGGTCTACTCAGACCTAGAAATTTTTAGAAATTGTAGCAATATAGCTTAAAGATCAGGAACTAGCTATTCATTACAGTCTTGTTCCTAAGAACAAGTTAGAAACGATCTAAATATGGAATTAAGGGACCATATGGCCAAAGAGTGTGTGTAGCCATTAAAAGATATTGGGGGTAAAAAAGAAAAGTTATTGGAGAATGTTTGGAAACATGTAAATATTTATACCAGAAAAGTAATATAAAATGTTCTAGAAGGGTAAAACACAACCAAAGTATTCACAGGGGTTCTCTAAGGAGGTAAGCTTAGGAAACGTAGTCTCTTTTTCTTTTCCTTTTTTTTTTTTTTTTTTTTGGCCCAGATTCCTAGGCACCCAGCCTGCTACCTCACCACCACTTATAAACAGACATGTACTGCTTTGGAGGAAATTCTCAGTTACCAAGAAAAAAAAAAAATCCTCTTTTTTCTAAAGTAAACTCAGATTCCTAATAACAGTGTGTTTTCCAACTGCTAAATAATGTCAGTAGGATAAAGGGCCATCCATAGGCCAGCTTCCAGATCATGGTTCACCCAAGGGAATTCTCAGAACTCTAGGCACCCAGAGGTGCCCTATATACCTTTATACCTTCACCCCAAAGAGTTTCCTGAGCCTGCACTGATCTATTCTGTTCATCCTTATCTGTGAGAAGGGATAGTGGCCTCCCACGCATTTCAAATCTTGTCTCCATGTTGGACTTTTTCTATCCTGAGAAGTAAGCTCCAAAGAGCGGAACTGCATTGTAGCCTGGCACCAGATGGCTTCCTGGTCCAAAAGCCTTTGATCTCTTTACACTTCTGTTCTATCTTTGCAAGAAGTTGAATTGCAGTTATTTAAGTCTGGCTATCCCACCATCTGGGGAGCATTAAGATTTCAGATTCCTAGACACTAACTGGAACTACTGAAATGGTCTTTGGGATGAACATCTAGGAATCATGGTGTTTCCCAGATGATTTGATGCAACTTCTCTAACCACATTGGGGCATCATGGAGTTCAAGGTTCTCTCCAGCTTTAAGCTCAGGGACAGACATGAGGGGTTTGTTCCAGACTTAAAGGTACCAATACTAAGTGAAGGGTGATGAAGAATGAGTTGAAGGTACAAAGGATTAAGTGTCTCTGTCCCCACCCTCACCCCCCCCAGTTATCCTTCTCCTCACCAAGCCCATTTCCATTCATCTCCGTTATTTTATGTCGTCTTGTCTCTGCTAATTCCTCCCTATGCCATCAACCAAGAGTGCCTGTGGTACATGCCCAGCCTCAATGGAGGGTCAACCTGGGGATCCATGGCATTACCATTAAATACTTCAATAACTTGCTTGAGGGTCTCCAGGGAAATGCCACTGTACCCCTTGGCTAAGACATTGATCCTTAAAGCCAAGAGCATTCGACATCTCTCAGGGATTAGTGGTTTCCCAACACCTGCAAAACAGAATTGATGTTTTTCTCCTAGAAAATCAAAGTCCTTTCTACCTCCATCTTTCAAATCTTTCCCCAGTTCAGTCCAGTCTCCTACCACCTGTCTCTTCTTGACTCAGATAGTTGGACTGCTCTCTTTCCTGACTGTCCTGCTTCTTAAAGTCCCATCTTCTAGGAAAACGGGAAACCCCAGTTTTGCCTTTTTGGTTCTCTTTCCTAGAATGTTTCAGTGAGCCCCACCTTCCCCAACACCCTTAGAATAGCAACCAGCTTGGATTCTTGACAGACTTTTTTCCATCTCACCTCATCCTGATCAACTCATTCCCTGAGTTCCAGCCTTCACTCCTTCCCTGAATCCACCACTGTGTTGGCACGGCCATGTACATGCTCCTGCCCCAACCCCATCCCTCCACTTGGCCCATTCCTTTCCTGAGATTCAGCTGAAAGGTGGTCTTGTCTGACATTTTCTGCTTCCCTTCCTCCCCTGAAGCAGAACTGGCATGAGTTTTCAGGATGCACTAGCTACTCGCGGCTGTTACAGGATGCCTTGCACTGTGCTGTACTTTAATCACCAAATCAAACAAGACTAGAAGTCATTTGATGTTTGAAATGACTTACCTGAAGAATGTGAACGTACTAAGTTGACCTGGAGCTCTCTGGAAGAGAAAGGGAAAACCCCTCTTAGAGACCTCGCAGTGAAAGTGTCCCTTCAGCTGCAGAAATGAAGGGAAGAACAGGTGAATCTTTGGAGAGACAGAATAAGGCAGTGTGATGCGATGGAAGAGACAAGCAAGCCTGTGTTTTCAATGCCAACTCGTATGCAAGTGAACAGGAGCCTTATCCTCCTCATCTGGAAATTGGGGCAAATGTTAATTATGTCTCTTGTTGAAAGAGATTCCAAAGATGGGGACGGGTGGCATGTGAATGTACGTTTGCTGGGGGGAAGGGGGATCAGACTTACTCTAGCTTATTGACAGGAATTACAGTTCTGGCAAATTTCCCAAAACCTGTAGTTATACCATAAACAACTAGGGGGGGAAAAAAAAACAACAAACAGACATGGTACCATTAGATGCAGGTCATTTTTTTTAAAGTCAATAAAAAGAATTGTGTACACAAAGAGAAAAAGATACCAGTTTTTTCTTTGACGATGCTATCTATGACTTCCCTGGATTTTTGCACCTTCTTTTCAGCAGTTGGGGTGAGCTAGGAAAACACTGGTCAAAGCTGAGCACGTTGAAGGCTCCCATATGCAGTGAAAAAGGTCAGAGGACATCCCTCCCACCCTCCCTGGTACCTTTATTTTGTAGCGTCCTTTCCCCAAGTTGACCAGATCCTCTGTGGTAAGGCTGTCCCCATCTAAGGCAATGTACTACGCAAAAGAAGGGGACCTTGGTGAGCTTGAGCAACTGGGCTGCTTGACCAAGAGAGTAGGGAAGCCTCAAGCAGAACTGAATTTTGACACTCAAGAGATTTTTTTTTTTTAAAGATTTTATTTATTTATTTGACAGAGAGAGATCACAAGTAGACGGAGAGGCAGGCAGAGAGAGAGAGAGAGAGAGAGAGGGAGAGGGAAGCAGGCTCCCTGCTGAGCAGAGAGCCCAATGCGGGACTCGATCCCAGGACCCTGAGATCATGACCTGAGCCGAAGGCAGCGGCTTAATCCACTGAGCCACCCAGGTGCCCGACACTCAAGAGATTTTATTTCTGCTCTGAAACATTAATGTGCTAGTGAAAAAGCTTGGTCTAGAAGAGGCTGAATAAAGAAAGCAAGAAATTAGCATAATACCTTTTCCTAACTTCACAGAGCAGAATAAAGCCCTGTCCTAACTGATAGCGTTTGGTCATAAATTCTGCAGGCCCCAACCCTCCAGAAATGAGCACGACTGCATTTTCTTTACAAAAAGAGTGTTGGCTTGAAGCTTACCTTTTCAGGCTCTCGGTACTTGCTATATCTGAAGCCGGGTAAAGGAAAACACTGGGGAGTGTGAGAAAGCCCCAGCCCCGTCCCAGGGGGGAGTAGCCCCCAGAGCAGACCAGCCAGCCTGCAGGGAAGGATACAGGTAAACTCCTTCTGGTTGTGATGGGATGAAGTCGGGACACATGGCGTCGCCTTCTATAACTGAAACGAGAATACCAGAGAGGCTCCTTTACAGATGGCAAGGGAGAGGCTCCTTCAGCGTTGCTGGCAAACCAGGAGACCACTGTTCCACTGCCTCGCACTTCTATAGAAATGGCTGCTTTAGAACAACCTCACGGGCTTTCAGGTGCTCTTAGCATCTTTTCCAAGGAGGAGAGCAAAAGGTAGAGATGCAGGTGTCAGGTGTGGGCAGGGTTTAAACGGCCGTTCAAGCTCTCACCTGCACCCCACCCCCCTCAAATGCAGCCTCTATGGCATACCGGGGGCAAGGGAAGTCAGCTCGTTTCAGGGTCTGTGGCCTTGCTGTAACAGGTGAATGGGAAGCCTCCCCTCTCCCAGGCATGTGCCCGCCCGCAGCCCACCGCACCTGCCCAGGGATGGCCGCCGAGCCTCCTTCCCAGGCACGCATGGATTCGGACACTCACCCACTTCCACGAACTCGTTGTCCTCTAGGGCCACCTCCAGCAGGTCCTCGTGGTCCAGCAGGCCCAGGCCCTTGCACCGGCGCACGAGGAAGTGCACATCATCCACCGAGGCAAAGCCACCATTATCTGGCTTATTCTTGATGTACCTCCTGACAGCCTCACGGCCTAGCCAGCCGATGGTGAGCTGCGCATCCCGGCAGGGTACGGCCAGCCATTCTCCGCGCACGTGCACCGTGTACCTGGGCATGGCTCCGTGTCCCAAGGGGACCCTGACACCAGTTCCTCTGCCTGTGGCGGCTACCGGGCAGGGAGAGTTTTATCTGGGAGTGACTACTGAGGTGTGGTTGGCTGGGAGGAAAGGGATGGACTTCCAAAACACGCCCCCTCTCTTGCCTTTACTCATCCACACATTGGACAAATATTTATTTAGGGCCATACCAGTGTCCCTTTGAGTTTTCACAGCTGAGCTCCAGGCAGGAGAGGCTGAGCAGGGTATCCCTGCTCACACAAAGCCCTGGCTTCTCCCATGCTGGGGGTGCCAGTGCCTGCTGGGTGCCGTTGTCCTCAGGGCCCCCAATTTCTCCCTCCCCTGGCTTCTGTGTTCTCCTCCACTCTGGGCAGCTTATAAACACCCTGTTCCTGTTTTTATCTGGAATTACTCAACTGTAAAATGCACCTTCTGGTCCACTGTGACACCAGGGAGTGTGGTAATCTTCATTTATTTGTTTATTCCACAAACATGTGTTGAGCAACTACTTCCTGTCACCACCAAGGTTTTCTAAAACTGTCCCCCCACAAAGGGAGACTGCAAAAGTCAGAGATCATTCTCACAAGGAAAGGTCACCATCAGGATGAGCGCTCGAGCTATTATGGCTCGGAAGTAACAGCTCACGCAGCCTTGGGTAGAACTCCAGCTCCACTATTTCTTAGCTTGGAGCAAGTGAAGTTATTAATTAACCTCTGTTTCTTCTTCAAAAGGGAAGAGGTAGACTGCCTCAATGCTGTATTTGCAGTATCTCCTTGGGACCCAGTTCTGGCTCTGCCATTTACTAGCTGTGTGACCTCTGGGCAGGTTATTTGATTTCTTGGGGTCTCAGTTTCTTCATCTCTAAGCTGGAGATAATGATAGCACCTATTTCAAAGGGCTTTAGGAAGGATTAAGTGAGTTTGTATATGTAAAGCCCTTAGTGCAGCACATGGTGCCTTGGGAATGTTCCAGAAGTGTTTGTGATTACTATTATTTGCACTCCAATGCTCTGTATACCTATATTGCCTTCTAAATGTTCTTTCATCTTGGTACATGGATATCCCTAATCCAGTTAAGCATCTTCAGCAGTTAACTGCTCCCTGCACCCAATCTACTTCATTACCAGTAGATTAAGGAAGTCTGAAAAGCATGAAAAAGGAATCAAAGAAATGTGGGCCCTGTTGAAACTAAGCAGCATTTTAGTAATAAGCCAGTTTCTAGAGATTGGATTAGTGCAACAGAAAGATCTTGACATGTGTTTCCACTAAAACTGACTTGTGCTGGGAATAGAGACACGGTTGTTCACAGAAAACACCAACACCCAGAATCTCTTTCCCTGACAGCTTCCTGAGAAGCATACAAAGAGCGAGCTACCCCGCCTTGAAACTTGCATTTCAGTCACCCACATCCTGACCACACTCTGGAATTTATCACCACTTGAATTTGACGCACCTAAGAGATCTTAAATTCCAATACCCTATCTTCTGACTATGACCTTCTAACCTTCCGGTTCTCCCCTTCCTTCACTCATCTTTGCCCTTGGACCTGACCTCTGCTTGGCTCCTCCTTTCTTCACTCCATTTCCCAACTCACTTTCTTTCCTAGGAAGCTGGTGTCCTAGTTGCTTACCTGGGCCACTCTTTCCTGAGCACTTTGAAATCCTTTTATAACTCTAAACCTATGCCTGCACTAAGTAAAACTCAACCCCTGGGTCATCACAACAAGCTGGTATCTGTTTACCCTGGTGGAAGGTTCTGCTACAGAAAGTTATATGATGGTGTACATCACGGCACTGTCTTTTTATGTGCCCCTCTCCCTCAGCAAGTTTCCAGAACATTCACCCTGCTTCTCAACATCCATCTCCTCTAATTTTCAGAGGAGGATCTTAGCTCTTATCTCTCTGAGAAAACCGAGGACCTTAGATGTGAAGTGCAACTTTCTACCCTCCTCCATTCACTCAGCCAACAACTAGTTCTCAAACACCTGTTATATCCCAAGCACTCTGCTAGGTGCTAGGGAATGAACCATTCTCTGCCTTCATGGTGCTACTCTCGGGTGATGGATCCACTCATAAAGAAGACTAATAAGATGTCGAAGTATCCACTGTGCTGTGAGAAAACCCAAACTATTTGGGCATTCCACGGGCCAGTCTCAGCTGAGCCCAGCTTTCACATAATCTTAGGCCAGACATCCGACATGTGAAGGAAGAAGCCTCCAGATGCTACCACCTCACAGAGGTGTGTTTGAAGATTCCAAGTTCATGCCCTCGACATTGTGTATATACCTATACCCGTACTTCTGTTACCCTTTATCCATCTGGAACACACTTCCAACTTCCTTTGCTTAGCTAGGTCTTTCTTATCTCATAAGCCTCAGTGTAGGCCTTCTCTTCCCCAGGACGCACTCCCTAAACCCTTTGGTTGGATTAAGTGCCCCTTCCCCGGGTTGCTTTAGCGTATTTGCTCTTTAGCCATATATAGATATTACTTCTCTTTGTTCAACCAGAAATTATGTGTATATCCCAGCCTGGCACAAAGACATTCATGATATGCTTAGTAGCTGAAGTTGTCTAAATGTGGACTCCACTGAGCTTGCCCTGGGTAAACCTGTGCTGACGTGTGTCTCTAGTGCCCTCTACCTTCTTCACAGCCTCCTTCACTGCCCTTGCAGGGGCCCTGGCCCCGGTTCACTTCCTGGCTCATTTATCAGTGATCACAGGAACGTGACATTAGCCCAGAGCACGGGAAAAGCTTTTGGGGCCAGGGAAGCCTTCAAAAGCATCATCTGAGTCTGTGGATTGGCTGAAGTCTAATCACGTAGAACTTGGTTATATACCAGGGATGTGAGCTGAACTCTCGCCTGTGGTCTTCTTGCCATGGAAGACAAGTGAGAACAGAGCGTTGAGAAACAGAACCACTGAGGTGTGGATGCGTCCAGGAGAGAACGGCTAGGGACAGTGAGCATAGGAGTAGCTCAGCATTACAGGGACGGACAGGAATCTGTGTCTTTGAGACCTGCCCCACTTTATTTATTTATTGCCTTCTGTGTGCTGTACGCACTACATGGGTGAAGGATGTTTGGTGCCCATTAAGGAGATGAATCAGGTTAGACAGGAGAGTATCAGAGGGACTGATGGGAAGTCCTGGGGTTCGGAGTCACCATCTGACCCTGACGGACAGGAGGGCAGGACAAGTCCAGTGGGGACACAGGTGGATCTGGGGGGGAGGGGGAGCACAATGTTCCCCAGAGAGTTTATGCATTTTAAAGGATTTTATTTATTTTATTTATTTTAGACAGAGTGATAGAGAGAGAGCATGAGCAGGGGGAGAGGGAGAGGGAGAAGCAGACTCCCTGCTGAGCCAGGAGCCTGATGTGGGGCTCCATCCCAGGATGCTGGGATCATGACCTGAGCCCAAGGCAGACTCAACCATCTGAGCCACCCAGTTGCCCCGAGTTTATACATTTTAGAAAGTGCACTTAGGCCATGCCCACTGAGTACCTGGGTGAGCAAATCCAACTGAGTGCTCATCTTGTTTAAAAAGCAAACCTCTCAGGGCTCCTGGGTGGCTCAGTGGGTTAAAGCCTCTGCCTTCGGCTCGGGTCATGATCCCGGGCTCGCAGGATCAAGTCCCACATCAGGCTGTCTGCTCAGTGGGGAGCCTGCTTCCTTCTCTCTCTCTCTGCCTGCCTCTCCACCTATTTGTGATCTGTCTGTCAAATAAATAAATAAAATCTTTAAAAAATAATAATACTAGAAGATGAGTTTCAGGGTCAGTGTATGTAAATTCTAAATAATTTGAATATTGAAACTTTTAAAAAAAAAGCAAAACTCTTGTCATGTTGAATTTTTGGCATGTGGCAGAACTTAAAATACTTAAAATTAAAGAACTTAAATAATTAAAAGAACTTAAAATTAAAGAACTTAAAGAACTTAAAATACCAGGTAAATACTATGCTGACACTCTTGTGATCATGCTGGGAAAAATAAATATGTAAGTAATGAAAAATTCTACATTTATAAATTAAAAGGTTAAACTTTGCTAAAATGCACTTTACAAAGAACATGGCCTCGGTGGGGGTGTGGGGGGGAAGGTAGCTCAGCTTTATTTATGAAAATCACTGACAAAACAATAAAAAGCCAGAACAAAAACAACATTTTTAGTTACATATGAGCTGAACTTGTATATTTCTTCGTGAATTAGGTTTAAAAAAGAGAACTATCTGAAATCAGCAGTTGGTAGGTCCTTAATCCACTTTTAAGTCTTTCCCCACCAGCATGGCGGTCACGGGGTGCATACTTGCTTTGTGCTCTTGGTAGGTACGCACAGCCTGATGATGGCTTTTGTCAAAGGCAGCAAGGTCCCTGGCAGGGAAAGAAAGATGGATAATGACTGATTTTGGCAAGTAGTGTTTTATTTGTCAAGTATAACTTTATTATACTTGTGAAGTAAATGAAAAGATTAATCATAACTATATATATCATGGTTCTGTATTTCTCAGAATTCCTGCTAAATCCATAGTCAAAATAACTTCACCAAGATATTCTTAAATTCTGTCTTGTAGCCAAGATACAACTTGTTTCCCATCTACCAAAGCATTGCTTCCTTATACATCAAGCAACTTACTCTTCCAACTCATTGCAGCATTTGAATCAAAAAGGTTTGGCCTTACCAAAGGCTCATTTCTTATAACATTTAAATAACTTCAGACTCTTTTGTGTCTGTGCCTACCCACCAATTATCTCTTACTTACTTTTAAAGATCTTTCTGGGGACCTAAGATTGTTTTCTATTTCTTTCTTTTTCACCAGTGTCTAAACCCATTTGGCCCATAATAGGTAATCCGTAGGTGATGTTTCTAAAAAAGCTAATGAAATTACTTCAAATTTTAAATATTTAGAACTGTTCATTCCTATTCCAAAATTATAGCTATAATCTTTAATAGATTTAAAAATATTATTTTTAGATGGTGTTTTACAAAGCATTTTAGCAACAGGAAAAGCATATAAGATTGTTCTTCCCCATTCCTTTTTTCGTAAGGGGGGAGGGAGAAAGAGAGAATCCTAAGCAGACTCCGAGCTGAGCGCAGAGCCCGCTGTGGGGCTGGATCTAACGGCCCTGAGATCATGACCTGAGCCGAAATCAAGAGACAGAAGCTTAGCCCACTGAGCCACCCCATGCAGTCATCCCCCCAGTTCCTGATCTAAATTCAAAGCACAGTCTGAGCTGGTTCTTACTTGAATAGAGGCCGTGTAAACTTCATTCGCCCTTGCTCAGTCGCCATTTTGAGAGCCAAAGGAATTGCTTCCTCCCATTTCGATTGAATGCAGAGCCGTAACCATCTGGAGAGAGGATTTTGGGGGGGCGTGGGGTAGGAAACGAGGAGGAAGGGGCAGGATATACAGGCATATCTGAAGATTACTTTTGTAATGATGAATAATCCCATTCTAGTTATGCTTACACCACTTTACATTATGTCTTTATTCTGAGAATCTCAAGTCCTCGTATATATAATTCAGTAACTGGAGAAGTGAAAAGGAGTTTGTTCTTGCAAGAGACCATATGTTTTTAAAAAGGTTTAGATTCTGTCGGTGCTCATGTACCTTATCTATATATCCAGTTTCTGAAGAAATTAAACTTAGGTTTAAGACTCACACTACAAATTAGAATTAAGAAAGATTAACCACATAACAAAATTAGAGATTTCTAACTATTCCCATATCAGAGTTCACTTGGCTAGTTGTGGAAGAATGCCCATTACCTATTTAATTTAAGAATTAGGGATTCCTAATTCTTTTTTTTTTTTGATAAGGCAAGAGAAGCTTACAACAAATTCTAATAAAAAAATTAATACTATCATCTTACAGATAGCGCAACTATTCCTCAAAGACCACTATCATTATTTATACAAGTGCAGTAAATTTCACAAGGATCTCTTCAAACTCATGTATGTCTCAGACTGCTTTCCCTTTCTCCACCTTTTAAACTAGTTTCTACTTTCTTCCACAGAGACAAGTTAAAATGATGTACCTGAATCGTATTTCAGAATTGTTAATGGCATTCAAGTTGTACACCTCTTGCATTCGCTTTATGTGCCCCAATGGAAGAGGCGCCTAAGAGCAAAATAAAGAAGTACGATGTATCATTTCAACAGGATTCCTTGGAAGAAAGGAGCTGGAGAGAAATTCTTAGCTGGATTAAAACCCTAAATATTTTATAATATAGAAATAAGTCAGATAAAAAGAAAAACAAATGCACACTACAATAAATTTTGTGCAAACTTATTCTGGATAAGGACGTTCTGCTGGGAGCAAAGGGATAGCTAATTGGTGAGATACACAGAGAATTAGATGAGAATTACTCTCCTCAGACGTTTTAGCATATATGAACACTAACTTTCTAACCCTTTCTAGAGTCTTTCAGGTTCTTCCTTATACCTTATAGATCTTAAATTTATTCCACTCTCCATGTTAAACCACAGTCCCTTAACTGTTTCCTCACTGATTGCCCTCAGCTTTTTTTTTTTTTTTTTAAGATTTTTAAAATTTTTTTGATAGAGATCACAAGTAGCCAGAGAGGAGGGCTGGGGTGGGGGGGAAGCAGGCTCCCCACTGAGCAGAGAGCCCGATGTGGGGCTCGATCCCAGGACCCTGAGATCATGACCTGAGCAGAAAGCAGAGGCTTAACCCACTGAACCACCCAGGCGCCCCACTGCCCTCAGCTTTGTCTTTGCATATTTCCTATGAAGTCTCTTTTGCATGATCTCTATCCCTACAAAACAGCTTTTTAAACTTTTCTATTACAGACCCCTTTGAAAACCTGATGAGTAGTATGGACCCTTTCTTCAGGAAAAAGAGATTTACTGTACAAACACAAACGTCCGTATACAATGGCAGGGGGTTCACAGGCCCCCCCGCCCCGTACCCACCTTACCCATGCTAACAGGTGGAGCAAGTCTGGTGAGGAAAGAAGGGCAGCTCAGTCTGGATAAGCAGGGAGGCTGAGGGGCTGCTGGGCCGGTGGCGACTCTCCTCTCCCAGCACAACCCATCCTACGAAACTCTCCCCACGCTCGGGGAAGCATCTTTGCTGGGAGGGCTAGACCCTTCCCAAATCCTTTGCCCTCAGCTAAACTCCAAGTCCACCCTGGTAGGTCCACCGGTTGAGGTCACCTCCTAGACCCCCAACTTTCACTAATTTTTGCCACACCTCTTCTGGAGACATCCCGTCAGGTGCTGCAGACATTTATGAAACCTCGGTGACTTGATGCCCTAAAAATGGATTCTTGCAAAGCCCCTGTTGCCTTAAATCCTATTCTTCCTTTTGTGTTGCTTCCATAGGAAAGTCTGTCCAGTCTTCTCTACCACTCTCGAGGTCCTCAGGCCCAAGACGGTAAAGACCCCGTCACTTTCTCCCTCTCAAAATGTAGCCTCTCCTTCCCATTTCTCATATTCTTTTAATTACCTGGGTTTGAAACCTTAAAATCTGCTTGGACTCCTTCCTGTTAACCGCCAAATCCAGTCAGTCACAAATCACATGCCTTCACCCTTCAACCCTGCTCATCTGGCCTATTCCCTCCTTTTCTTCCCCCTCACAACGTGTTCTCCAAGTCTCCCCAAGAATTTCTCCACCCATGTTCCTCATATCGATCTACTGGCAGACTCTTTGATAACCACCCTCTCTTCAAATGACTTTCCTGTTAAAAATGTTAGCTATTTCCCTACTCTACCACCTACTAAAACAAAACCCAAGATTCTTAGCTTAGCATTCAAGATTCATCACATCTGATCCCACTAGCCGTTCTAGAATTATCTTCATTAACTTCCACAACATTGAGGCTTGTGACTCCCTGAGACCTCTGCTAATGTTGGGCAAAGCAAGCCCCACTCCCACAAAACCTTTCCTTGACTGCCATTCAGAAGGGAATTCTCCTTCACTGACTCAGCTTTTCTCAAATGGTACCTAAAATATGCCTCCTTTTATTGCCACATTTTGTACGTGTGACCTTTTCTACTAGATTATAAGCTTTTTGAGGACATGGTATATTTCTTTCTTACATATTTTCATATTCTCAACAACACTAAGCATTCAACCGGTGTCTTTAAATGAATGAGTTTTAGAAGTTATTTTTTTCCATTAGTTTTCACGTTAACATTCCCCCCCCCCCACAAACTGGGCTTGACATAAATGCCATGCTTTTGTTACGCCCGTTGTAATTTCTCATGTTTTGGACTCGTACTTACTCTCTGGAGCATCTGTGCTAAAAATTCGTTCAACTGATGAGAAGAGAGATCCTTCAGGTCTGCTGGGGTGAATGAATTTAAATCCTCTTCTTTGGCCTACAATAAATGTTACCTGGTTATCTCCATTCATGTGCGATTTAATAATATTTATTGGCTTATTGGACATAAAAGTAAAGATTAAGAAAAAGACAAATACAAGGACGCCTAAGGTGGTGAAAAAATATATTTCAGCCTTAGCTACTTTAATAGTTTCGAGATGATGTTACTATAACTTAAAGAGCTGACATGATTCCTAAAATCTGTATTACTTAAGAGAAATTAGACTATTACTAGTAAAAGTGGAAGAAACTTTTGACATCCTTTGTACCATTCCAGATATATGGATTTTCAAAGTAAAGAAAACATTAAAAAAGCATATAACTAATTAATAGGCCAATTAAAAAATCTGGGTAAAGGATCAAATTGCACATTCTCTTAAATATCACACTAATGAACTGGTAGGACCACAAACGGAGGTTTCCCTCCATGCCCATACATTCTGCTTTTCCCAGCTAATCTTGGAAATCATCTAAGAAAAAGAAAAGTCGGTCTGTACTTTTCTATTTAGGACTCACTGCCAAAAATCTTGGAGGATATGATTAAGAAATATTAAATAAAGCTTACCAAAGTAAGTATTTTTAATTCTTTAAAAGCAGCTTTAAATTCTTTTAAACTAGGGTTTCCTTTTATTATTTTTAATTTTAACTCCAGTATAGTTAATATATACTGTCATATGAGTTTTAGGTGTACAATATAGTGATTCAACACTTCCATTTATCACCCGGTGCTCAATGGGACAAGTGCACTCCTTAATCCCCATCACCTGTTTCACCCATCCCCCTGGCCACCCCCCAGCCATCAGTTTGCTCTCTCTAGTTGAGAGTCTGTTTCTTCAGTTGTCTCTCTCACTTTTTCCCTTTGCTCATTGGTTTCTTGTACTCCACATAGGAGTGAGATCGTACAGTATCTGACTTATTTCGCTTAGCATTATACTTTCTAGCTCCATTCATGGCCTTGCAAATGAGATTTCATTCTTTTTTATGGCTGATAATAGTCCATTATAGATGTATACCATCGTAGATATTCCTTATCCATCCATCTGTCGATGGACACTTGAGTTGCTTCCATAGTTTGGCTATTATAAATAATGCTGCTATAAACATAGGGGTGCATGTATCCCTTTGAATTAGTGTTTTTGTTACTTTTGGGTAAATACACTAAATAGTGTGATTACTGGATCATAGGGTTCTATTTTTAACTTTTTGGGGAACCCCCTCTACTGTCTTCTACACAAACTAGGGTTTGTTTTTTTTTTTTTTAAGTTGAAAAGAAATATAGGCAGTGTTTTAAAAATCAAACAGGGCCGAATGAAAAATTCCTTTGTTTTTGCTCCGTCTTTCCTCAGTAACCAATATTAATAGTTCCTTGTTTATCCTTCCAGAAAACTTAATGTATAAAAACATATCCTTGTAAAGAAATATTATTTTACACCTTCCTCCCCTTTCTATCCCACTGGGAAACCATACCTTAGTGTCAAAACTTACAGATCTCATTCTCTGCTCAAAAACGTGGAAATTTAAACTATCTATTAAAGACCTATCATAAGTGGTAAAAACATGAAAAGCAGTAGAATGATAAGCCCAAGTTCAAGGTAATGGTTACCCTCTTGGGAAGGCAAGGTGGGCAGAGAGTGGATGAGGTGGGGAGGGGGCGCTCCAACAGTGCCGGTGAGGTTTTCTTTCTTAGGTTGGCGGTGGGTACACAGGCTTTTGTTTTACAGTTGATTTTTACACCTTCAAACAGGTGATATACATTTTTTCTGTTTGCTTTTACTTAATATGAGAAAACCAACTGGACGATCACACAAGGCAACAAGTCACTAGTGACTCCGGAGATGAAAGCGAGCCCTCAGTCTGTCCCTGACACTGCCCACTCCTACTGACACTGCCCTATTTACAGTCCTCCACCTTGACCGCTGAGCCTACAGGAGTTTCTAAGCAGAGATCAGGAGCAGTTCTACCAGGGGGGCTGGAATACATTTTTCAAATGAAAACTGAGGTCCTAACACAACACATTGTTGTTAAAAGACCCAGTGTCCCTTGGATTTCTCTTTCGCTTTTTTCCAACGACACGTCTGTGAACTACACCGAACATGAGATTCAAGACATAGGAAGAATAGCGAACCATGATCTGTGGCAAGAGGTGTTACCAGATTTCTCACCCTGCATAGGGATCAAGCTTTCCTAAATGATTTGTCGTACGTAATTAAATCCCTCCTCTAATCATCACTTAACACCTCTGGTCCCTGTGGTTATGACACTGAATGCCGGAAGCCTACCTCTCCCGGCCAGGTACTGACCATGCACATGCAGACGTGCGTGACTAGCCTGCCTAGGGTGGGGGGCGGAGATAGCGGCCTAGATATTCTCTACCCCACTCGAAAAGATCCTGACCTAGATCTAAAAAGTCAGTAATATCCTGACTTTGTTATGATGTTGTAAGAATCTTCAGAAAGATGTTTATATTTTATTTTAAAGGACAGTATCTCTTCCCTGGGGTTTCTGGTTCCATTTACTTACTTACTCCGATTGGCCTTACTCCTGATTTTTCTTCCTCCTTCTGGCTCTCAGAGAGTTCCCCTCAAAACCCAGAGCTTTCTATGCCTCTTTCTTTATCTCGCCTCTCCACCTAGGCTCCATGTTTCGTTGCTGCTTAAAAAAAAATAAACCTGTTCGAACTGTGTCCCTCCCACCCAGAATGTCCTCCTCTACCTCCTCCATGCCCAAACCATGCTCAGTCCTAGCTGAACTACCCTCTTCTAGACAAAGCTCTCCTCCACGCTGCAGCCAACCTCAGTGCACTTCACGCCAACCCCCCCCAAACCAGGTGCAAGTATTGGCTCTTTCTGGTGACCTCTTGTTACTTCATCTGTGTCTTTTTCATGCTACGCATCACTTCCTGTTCAGTATCATTATTTATTTCTAAACTTTAGGAATAAGTGTCAAAAGGCGACATCTAAATTTGTTGCAGTAACAGCATGAAGACTAGCAGAATATGCCAGCCCCAAATACACCGATTCTTTTAGTGCAGGCTCTTGAAAAACAGGAATGGCAAGGAGAGGTTTTCTCCCAACTGCACACAGACAGATTTTCCAAAAGGAACCCAATTGTCCTAGATCCCCTCCCTGGGAGTTTCATCAATCAGGCAAGATTGACTCTTATCAGGAACAAAAAAAAAAAAAAGCTGACACCACACCCAGACAAACTTTGTCCCAATACTTACTTATTCTTCTAAGGGCCCATTTATCTTTCCTAAAAATCCTTTATTTTCGCCTAAAAGGCTTCTCTTTTCTTACCGAAATGGTATTTAATCCTGAATTCTGAGCCACCTCTGAGTAACTCATTTTTCCGTGGGCCCCTCCCATGAATACATGAGGTAGACACACGGATACCTTTGTTTTTCTCCTGTTAATCTGCCTTTTCTTACAGAGGTCTCCACTAAGAACTCAGAGGGTGCGTGGAAAATTCCTTTTCTTCCCCTACAAGGATTATTCCTACACTTTCCGCTATTTTTCCCAAAAGCATTACCCAGGGCACATCTGCACTCTGTTTTCTAAGGGTTTTGTTTCAGGAAATGCACAAAGCAGCTATTTCTAGGAGCTTCCATAGCGGTCAACACTAACACCGGCAGATAGAACCCAAGTGCCCTTGTTCTTCCCTCACAGGTGACACCAGCACTCACCTAAGATCATTTTAGATTCACCTGCATGGGTAAGGGCTATTTGAAGCAGTATCTTACAAATGACTGATGAGAAAAAGAAGAGAACAGGCAAATATTTCTCCATACCTTTTTTAAGACTTGAAGGAAGAAAAGAAGAACTAATACCACCAATATCTATTTGCTCCCCTGGGCAAACTTAACTTTACACACTGAGGGCTGGTATACTACCTCTTCAGACAAACTTGACTCATGAGTGACTTTTCCAAATACTTGAGTTTGTGAATCAAGTATCCACCTGCTCCCGTCCCCGCCACCGCCTTCCTGAGTAGAGACATATTTGTACAATTCAAAAAGGGGTCAAAATCACACGTTAGTACTCACAGTCATCCACCGTTGACTTAAGGCAAGGCAGGCATTTGTGAGAGTCATATCATAACTGCAAGTGAAAAAATACCAGAGATTCAACTTCATAAAAATTACATGCTTTTCCATAAATGTAAAGTTACAGAACATACTTAATTTTCCAAAGTTTTTTTTAAAAAGACTTTATTTATTCATTTGAGAGAAAGAGTGAGAGTCCAAGAGAGACTGCATGGGAGGGTGGCGGGGCAGAAGTAGACTCCCCGCTGTGCAGGGAGCTCAAAGCAGGGCTAGATCCTAGGACCCTGAGATCATGACCTGAGCTGAAGGCAGACACTTAACTGACTAAGCCACCCAGGTGCCTCCTTGAGCTTTATTTAAGGAGGCACCTGGGTGGCTTAGTCAGTTAAGTGTCTGCCTTCAGCTCAGGTCATGATCTCAGGGTCATTGGATCCAGCCCTGCGTTGGGCTTCCTGCTCATCGGGGGAGTCTGCTTCTCCCTTTGCCTCTGCCCCTCCTCCCTGCTCATGTGCTTGCTCTCTCTTGCTCACTCTCTCTCTCAAATAAACAAAAATAAATAGAGAAGAGAAAGGAGTCAGAAGGAAAGAGAGAGTGAGAGAGAAAGGAAAGGAAAAAGGAAAGGAAAGGCCAATCAGGAACTCCTGACTGTCGGAAACAGGACATCTTCTACCTGACTTCAATATACTGATGTCATCGGAAAACTTGGAAATCCAAGTGGTTACCAGATTAATGAAACACCTGATTATCCTCCAGAGAGAAAGCCTCACCACCTGAGGGAAGACGGTCAGATGCTTCAGTAGCATCCGCTGAAGGTGCTGGGACCCAGGTGGGCACGTTTAGGGTTTGCTGTGTGCCAGGCACAGTTCTAGGGGCTCATGACAACACAAAGTCCTTGCTTTCATGGATATTACATTCTGTTGTTCCAACTATCTTCTGACTTCGTAACCATCCAACAAATCTGCGAGTGCCTATGTGGCAGGCACTGCTCTAGACACCAGGGAAATGATGGTGTCATGAGAGACCCTTGGGAGACTCCGAGTCATCATGTGATGATTTTATTCCTCTCTTTTCAGAAGAAAGTGAAAATAACAAACTCTTAAAGCAAAGCAAATGGCACTAAAATCTGTGTGTTCTTAACTTAGAAAATAAATCCCCTGTGTTGCAACAACAGTGGAAGAGACTGTATAAGGTACAAGAATTCTTGCAAAACATCCCTCTTTGTCCATAAATGATGCTTGCTTGCTGTGAAATGTTTCTATTAGAGAACAGTGGGGGTACCTGCCCCTGTGGGCCTAAATGAAATGAGTTTTGATTAGAAGTTGCCTCTGCACCTCTGAAAGAGAGTTTGAGCCCTAGGGGAGATTATTAGCCAGTTAACGCAGTGCTCTCCTTTGAAGTAGCTGCCAGTTAATCTTCATGAAGTAGTTGGGCTGTGGACTACAGAGAAAGCCTTTTGTTTGTCTCCAAGACCAAATGGGATCAGAGGCAGTAAATTGCTCAGGCAGTAAATCACCTTCAACTAGAACATTCCTTAGCACTGATTTCATAAGGAACAACAGAACCATACAAAACCTCTGCTGATCTCTTTCTGGGTGTCCTGAAATTTCCTTTTCGTTGTCATAAGAACTAGGTAAGGATTAGCCAGGGGAAGGGAAGCAGCCCTTACTTATGGCAAGATCCTAAGAAAAGCAGGGAGCAAAACCAGGTGGGAGCGCAGCTCTCACGGTGCTTCAGTGTCGTGAAGGAGAAAGACTTTATCACACAAATTAAAATTACCATGTGGTAATAGCAATGAAGAGGCCATACACAGCACCAGGAAACCCTAAATAGGAACCGGACTTGGTCAGAGATGTCAAGGAATATTTCCATGAGGAAGTGGATCTTGAGCTGAGATTGGAATGATCTGGCAAAGAGTACTGCCGGAGGGGGGTGGAGGGGACAGCATGGTCCCGGCTGGAACATGTGGTAGTTTGCATCCTCACATGACGCGTGAGGACCAGAGTTTAGGTCTCTGATTCAAGGGTGGTATAAAAGGCAGTATAGCAGAGGGGTAAAGACTGCCAGGGTTTGAATCTCAACCCTAACTACTTACTGTGCAAACTGCGGCAGAAGACCTTTACCTCACTAAGCCTAATGTGCCTCTTCTGGAAATGCGGCTGACATCTTAGAACACTGCCGTAATGATGGACATTACACTTATACAGGTTGTATTTCTTACTTCAGAGGTGTTGAAAGAAAGGAAAATATCTTCTCTGTATCACCATCCTTCAGCTGAAAGGAGGCATTCCATCATGACTTGGAATTAACTGAATTTATAATTCATGGAAATGTTTCTTTTGACCTCAGGGTTAAGGGTCAAACACCTACGACATCTGCTCTGTAACTGGTTACAGCTTAAGGAAGTCATCAAACCCTGTCGAGTATCTTGAGGAGCCCAAGAATTCTGGAGAGTGAGAAGGAAAGCATTAACGGGAAGGACTGACTTGGGTTTTACAGGAGGCATTCCAGGAGAGTAAAGCCACGCATTCCAGTCAACTTGATTGAGAAGATCAACCTGTGAACACAATGAACACCAAGGTTGCTACGGAATAACTTTTTCCATTGGGGGTGCGGTGGGGGAGGTGTGACTATCTAAAACTTTTAGGTCCTCAAATCTATAATTTACCTGTACTAACATGTTAAGATAACTTCTAAGACTCTTTCCTAAAATAAATTTATATTAATCAGCATTATTCTGTTAAATAAAGCAGGAAAATTAATTATATACAAGAACTAAATTTCTGAAACCTACTATTGCAGATCTCTCCAAAATATTCACGTTAGTTCATATTGTTGAGATCACATTTTACATAGGAAAAAGTACCACGAAAGGCTGAATCTTAAATTCTAAACCAGTACTACTATGAAGGAATTCAAATCAGCCTAACAAATAGCCATTAAACACAGGTATACTGGGCATAGAAAATAAGAAAGCTTTTTAAAACCAACCTTATCTTTAAAGTGGGAATACAGGAAATCCTTCCAGTCATCAGTGGTTATGCTCTTGTAGGAAAATTTTTCAACATAAGCCTTTAGGAATCCTAGGAAAACCTCTAAGAGTTTAAAAAAAAAAAAAGTTGATTAATGGAAAGGTAACTATTGAACATTTTGGGGGTGCTTGGTATGATACTTTTGACCAGGGAGAACAGAGAGCTTTCAGAGAATAGGGAAACCAACAAGGGCTTTAGGGAGTTGAAGAATGTTCAAATCAGGTTGTAGGACTTAAGCCAGGCCTTGAAAAATATATGTAATTTGGTGGAAGGGAGAAAAGAAATCTGAATGACAAGAGGCCAATGCAATGAAGAAACAGAGAAGGAACCCACAACATAAATTCTAAAAGTAATGGCCTAGTGTGACCTGAGAGGAGGAGAAGGAGATGGGACAGGCAGAATGCGTGTGGGTGAGGGAGGGGCTTCGAAGTCCATGGACAAAGGATAAGAGCCCAACACCCATCAGTAGGGGAAAGTTACATGTATTCAGCACATCTACATCATGGACAGCTACAGTGACATTAAAGGGTATAAGGTAGATTACTATGTTCTGACAGGATGTATGTGGAACACTGCTGAATTAAAAAAAAAAAAACAAAGGTAGAACAAATGTGTGTGTCTATGTGTATAAAGTGATCCATTTTCTTATTTTTTTTAAAGATTTTACTTAGAGACTGAAAGTGCTAGTGGGGAGGAGGAGAAGGAGGCTCCCCACCTAGCAGGGAGCCTGATGTGGGGCTCGATCCTAGAATGCTGGGATCATGACCGAGCCAAAGGCAGACACTTAACCCACTAAGCCACACACACGCCCCAATGATCTACTTTCTGTAATTAAAATATATTTATTTGTCTGTTTGTTCATTTATGCTTAGAAAAAGACCAGGAACCATGGACACCAAAGTGCTAACATTGGTCATCTGGGGACTGGAAAGGGGCTCAGGGACTCTTCACTTGTCATGCTTAGAAACTTCTGTACTACAGAATTTTTTTCAAGGAGTATATACTATTTTCCTAATTTTTTAAAATATTGATGAGTTTTCTGGGGCGCCTGGGAGGCTCAGTTGGTTGGGCGGCTGCCTTTGGCTCGGGTCATGATTCCAGGGTCCTGGGATCGAGCTCCGCATGGGGCTCTCTGCTCAGCGGAGAGCCTGCTTCTCTCTCTTTCCCTCTGCCTGCCGCTCTGTTTACTTGTGCTCTCTGTCAAATAAATAAATAAAATCTTTAAAAATAAATAAATAAATAAATAAAATACTGATGAGTTTTCTTTAAAGTCATGCAACACAGTTTTGCATTCAACTTATTCAAGGTTTAAAGTAGAGAGGTCACATTAGAAAATGATACGGGTTTTCTTTAGCAGCTACACACAAAATGAAACAAAAGAATAAAATGAGACAAAAACAACAGTTAAAAATTTTCCTTATTCTTCACATTGCCCTCAAAAACAAACAAACAAACAAACAAACAAAAATCAGAAAATGCCAACTACTTGCCTGGACCCCCAAGAAGTTGTTCAAGGTAAAAGAGTAAAGCAAAGCCCTTCTCGTAGGGCACTGAAGAATATGCTACATCGGGGTCCACATTCGTCAGATCAACCACAAGTTTGGTGTAAGGATGTGTATCTCCAAAAGTCTTTATCTGCAAGACACAAAATTAGATGAATGTTCAAATATGGATACTGGTTATTAGCACGCAAGCAAGCTAATAAGGAAGTATGACTTCGCTCAAAGGCATAACTTTAGGGGAACTTACACTGAAAGACTAGAAGTTGTAGGGTATGTTAGCACAAATTTCTCTAAGTCTGTTAATGGAATGCCTACTTGTGTCATGTTCCGTGGTATTTCCTGTTCAGTAGTAGGCTTTATTCTTATAAAAAACTAGGAAAATGTTTCAATGCCTGGTCAGCAAATTCAGCCTTTGGGAGGGAACAATGAAAAATTCAAACTAAGTAATTGTATTAATGGCAAAGACCCAATGAGGTCCTACTGGTCATGAACATGACATTATACAAGATAATGACTAGCATGTATCAATACCATATTATACCAGGGCGCCTGGGTGGCTCAGTGGATTAAGCGTCCAATTCTTTTGCTTTGGCTCAAGTCATGACCTTAGGGTCCTCCAACTGCGCCCCATGTAGGACTCTGTGCTCAGCACCAAGTCTGCTTGGGGTTTCTCTCTCTCCCTCTGCCCCTCCCCTCTGATGTAGGCCCTCCACCCCCGCCACTCTCTCTCTCAAACAAATAAATAAAAGCTTAAAAAATAGAATATTATACCAGTATCTGCTTGATTTTCCACACCTGGCTTTCTTGTTGCTACTTAGGAAAGCTAGTTTACAAACTAAACTTTCAAATGCCTGTACAACTTTGGAGAAATGCTTTTCGAAGCATGACCCACTTACCGAATTCTGTAGTTCTCCCCATCCTCCCAGTGCGTGAAAATGTCTGAACTTTTCTCCAAACAGTCGTCCACAAATGTGGCGCTCTAAATACACAGTATGTCCTTCGTTTAACCTAAAAAGTTTTTTTTTTTTTTTTTTTTGGTAAATAAAATAAGAACAGTGACACAGCTGAAAGGAACAAGAAATTTAATCAACAAGGTATTTTCTTTTTGGCTTTGCTACAGAGTAAAACATTGTAAAGCATGGACACTACTGTCTAAGCAGATTCTGCTCAGAGCTATGGGAAATGCAGCCACCTGGACGGCAGCGGGGAAAAATCCAGCCACAGTTCTCGTTTTCTTTTCCCACGTATTAAAATGTGATGCTACCAGCACTAAGTAAGAAGCACAAGCCGAATACTCTTACTCCTCCTAACACTGACAAGCATTGTGAAATTTTTTAAACTGTCTACCTAAAAGATGACGACAAAGAAAAACAAGATATTTCCGCAAAACCAGTTTGGAGCGGCGGGATGCAGGGAAGGAAATTAATAAGAAGAACCGATAAAGAAAAGTAATCATAATTTAAAAATCTCACCAAAAGTGGTCCCAAGTTTTGTTGGTCACTAGATTTCCTGTCCAGCTATGAGATATTTCATGTGCGATAACCTAAAGTAGAAACGTATAGTAAACAGTGGAAGGGATTAGTAGAACGCATTGCCTTATTCTAAAATAACTCCATACGTAAGCATTCTAGTTCTTTCAGTTCCACATTGTTCAATTTCTTTTTAAAATCAGCTGAGATATTTAGGGAGTTAGTTGAACAAACAAATCATCACTTAGCCAAAGACAAAAGTATAGTTTAAAAAATTAGAAACAAAAAGTTATTTAGAAAATATTAAATGGACACATCACTCCTTTAAAATGCATTTCATAAACATATGAAGAAATCAGACCATAAAATGTTATGACGTCTATTAAATCTAACTGTTAATGTAACAACAACCCCCGAGTTATCTTTTATAACCATATCTTCAACATAACAATACAATGGATATTTTAAAAATCAGCTGAATTCTTAGTTCTTTGAGGGTAAGACTGCGATAATAAATTTTAACTTACGTTGGAGAGTGACTTGTCTCCTGCCTAAAAAAGAAGAAAAGTACCTTAGTATTCAAATTACAGACTACATTTAAAAGACTGCCTACATCAGGATGTATTCCGACATTAATAGTGCACTGTATTTCTATTATCGTACTCAAAGGGGTTCAAGACCAGAGTATGTATTGGGAAAATAAAACCAAACATGCAGGACCAATAAATAAATAAATAAATAAATAGCATGACTCTTTCTCTCCCTCATCTGGGGAATTTTTCCAGGACCAGGAAGCCCAGCATACCTATCTCTAACTTCCAGGAAACATTTCTCCTTCCATTTTAAAAATATCTGTTCTTATTTCCTTTATGTACCTTATTCTCACCTAATTACCCACAGCATACTTAAGAAAAGTCTGCAGTGATTTAAAGTAGCATACAAAGGCATATAAATTATATACTGTAGGTCTAATCCTTCCCTATACATGCTAAAGTGAGTTTTTGTTCGTTTTGTTCGACCCGCCCCTACATGCCGAGTATAAATGGTCTAGTTTCTCTGTCTGGATACAGAATTTGTCCCTACCTTGGTGTGACACCACCTCCCCTCCCCCACCACCCCCATACACCTTTGGTTCTCGTCTCCCTAATGGCTAACTTACTTCCTTTTGATAAAATGAGATGACGAAAATAACCATAATAAGCAATAATATCAGGAAGAGGAGTTATACAAATAAGAGAAAATATTGTTTAAAAAAAAAAAAAAAGATGATCAGGAGCCTAAGGCTCTTCACATCCAGCTGTACATGCGAGGAGAACTTAGCCGTGCACACAGACAGGCTCACACTCACCAGCAGAGTGGGAGTTACGAACGTGAGGCAAGGATTCTCCATGCCGCCATAAGGGAAGGACGGCGGGAGGACTAACAGGTCATACTGCCCCCATACATACGGTCCTCCCAGATCTTCTGCAATTTTAAGCATAGATTCAGTCTGGAAAATGAACGCATATATATTTACATGTCTTAGTCATTACAGTGATGAATTTCTTGAAAGTACATATTGCTTTCTACGAAGGTTATGAATTAAGGATGCTCCTTTTAAATAATACTGATGCAAAAAAAAAAATAGCAACTGCAAAACCACAAAGAATAAGATATTTGATTCTCTGATGTGGTCAGAGAACAGAAACACCATTGCATTTCATACTTAAAGTCTTTTTTTTTCTTAAAGATTTTATTTTTATTTATTTGACAGACAGAGATCACAAGTAGGCAGAGAGGCAGGCAGAGAGAGGGGGAAACAGGCTCTCTGCTGAGCAGAGAGCCCGATGCGGGGCTCGATCCCAGGACCCTGGGATCATGACTTGAGCCAAAGGCAGAGGCTTTAACCCACTGAGCCACCCAGGTGCTGCCATACTTAAAATCTTAAATCTATTGTCTACCAGGATTATTAAAAAGGGTAACTCTATGACTAACCTCAGAAAATTCATAAGCAGACTTTTCCACCTGCTCTTTCTCAGACCAAACCAACGTTCTTGGGCCAATTTGCCTGCAAAATTAAAAAGCTTAATAAAAATGAAGTTCAAGACACATTATTCATTTGGTTCTAGGAAAGAGCTAAAGTAGTATATAAAAAGCCCGACAGTAGGAAGATTTACCATGTGCTCTGGGAGGAGGGGAGGTTTAACAGCTTCTCTGAGATACAGTCCACTGCTGTGTGCACACCAGAAAATACGCAGCTCTCTGAGGAGGCACCGTCTGGGCCACATGAAAACAGAGATGTAAGGTGCCCCCGAAGATTAGCTAACTGGCTCTGGTAAGAACTTTGGGGATCCCCCAGTCAGGCTCAGTAAGGGGTTATTTGCTATGTACTTAAAGGTTGAACACTCACAGAAGAAGAAACAAACAGAAAAAGAAGGAAATCCTGTCACATGCTAGAACATGGCTGAAGCTTGAGGACATTATGCTGAGTAACAACCCAAGCCAGTCATGAAAGAACAAATACTCTGATTCCACTTAGGAGGTCTCTAAAGTGTTCAAACTCATAGAAACAGAGAGTAGAATGCTGGTTACCAGGGGCTGGAAGGAGGTGGAAATGGGAATTGTTGTTTAAAGGGTACAGAGTTTCAGTTTTACAAAATGAGAGTTCTGAAAATCTGTTTCACAACAATGTGGATTTACTGGGCGATACTGATTACTGGGCCATACCCGTAAAAATGGTTAAGAGAGTAAATTTTGTGGGATTTTTAGCCACAGTGTAAAACCAGGAGAAACAAATAGAAGTGCGTATCACTTACAAAGGACTAGAACACAACAATATTTTTTTCATCTAAATTGCGTCCTAAAAATTTTCCGCGGAGCCAAACCCCAGACAACAAGATTTTGCTGAGATGTCGTGCCCCAGAGAGGCAGTAGACTCTAGAGGAGCTGCTTCTCCAAATTTAAAGTGCATACTGATGCATATGATGACATATGCAAATTTTGATTTAGTAGCTCTGGGATAGGACCCAAGAATTTGCATTTCTACCCAACTCCCAGGTGATGCCAAAGCTACCAGTCTCTGGAACCATACTGGGCAGCGATGGTAACCAACCTGCTGTTGGCCAACAAATTTAATGAGAGCCCCAAGTATGAGCTGCATATATCATTTTTAGTTGCCTAGCGGCCACATGTAAAATAAGCAAAATGGAAGCAGATGAAATCAATTTTAACACACTTTGTTTAACCCAATACATCCAAAGTAGTATCATTTCCAGATGTAATCAACATAAAAATTACCGATGAAAGAGTTGACGTCCTTTTTTTCCTACCAAGTGTTTAGCAATCTAGTGCATATTTCACACACATCGCAGGCCCCATGCGGGTCAGCGGCTATCCTGCCTGACAGGGCACATGTTTGCGGCGTGGGCTGCAAAGTCAGCCAGCCTAGATCTCGGTCCTGGCCCTGACCCTTCCTAGCTGTGTGACTGTGAGGCGGTTATTAATACTCACCGAGCATCAGTTCCTTTATAGGTCAGATGGGAAAAGCAATCCCATCTATCTATTCCACGGAACTGGGGGGATTCCGTGCCCTAAAGCTTGGGGGTCGGCACAGGATAAGCCCTTGTAATGGTCGGCACTCTGACAATTCCTAGAATCATCATCTAATGAGTGTTTCCCATAGGCTGGGAGCTTTACCTATATTGGGTCGGTTAATTCTCACAAAAATCCTTTGAGGTACATACTATTCTTTCCAGCCGTTAGGAGAAGAAAAGGAAACTCAGAGGTGAGCTGCCCAAGGATGCTCATAGTAACTGCTTGGAGCTGGAGCTGGGTTTGCCTGACTTCTTGATCTTGTCCACATTTCTGGCAATTTAAAGAAAGTAAGACCTACCCATATTCTTAATTTTCAGCTGTTTAGCAGTAAGACTTAGCAAAAAATTAAGAAGGAAGGGCACCCTAGCTATTGGTAAATTTTTAATAAAATATCTTTTATTTCTATAGTATTTATAGGCTTCCATGTGCTTTTTTTTTTTAAAGATTTTATTTATTTATTTCACAGCAAGAGAGATCACAAGTAGGCAGAGAAGCAGGCAGAGAGAGAGGGGGAAGCAGGCTCCCCGCTGAGCAGAGAGCCTGATGCGGGGTTTTTAATAAAATATCTTTTATTTCTATAGTATTTATAGGCTTCCATGTGCTTTTTTTTTTTTTTTTTAAAGATTTTATTTATTTATTTCACAGCAAGAGAGATCACAAGTAGGCAGAGAAGCAGGCAGAGAGAGAGGGGGAAGCAGGCTCCCCGCTGAGCAGAGAGCCCGATGCGGGGCTCGATCCCAGGACCCTGAGATCATGACCTGAGCCGAAGGCAGAGGCTTAACGCACTTAGCCACCCAGGCGCCCCCTTCCAATTGCTTTAACATATCTTACCTCACTTGTTCAGGGAAAGGGAGATACTGCAATTTCGAGATTGAGGAAATGGAAGTTAAGAGAAGTAACCAGTTCAAACTTGTATTAGAATCCAGATCTCTAACTAAAGGCAGAGCATGCTCACTCTGGAATACCTGGAAAAGCTGAACAGTGACTGGTAAAGACTTTTTTCATTTAAAATTCATTGTTATTTACATTTTATAATTAGATTTGAATATTTGCAGCTTGATATCTTGTGATGTGCATAAATGAGCTGCTAGTTAATCCTGCCAGAGTTTCAAGATACTTCACGCTTAATCTTTTTGTAAACCTCAAAATTTGTTCAAAAGCTCACCTGCTTTCTAAAGCTCCAACAACTAAAGCAATCAAGTAGCAGGGCATGGGCACCTAAAAGGAGCAAAAAATAAATAAATAAACACACACACACACACACACACACACACACACACACACACGAATTAGTGCTTAGAAATGTTAGAGTAAGACAATCCATATTTAAATGTAAATTCCTTTTCAGATCTCACCATTCTCATTTTTAGGGAGTTAAATAGTTCAAAATTGTGATGTAAAACATTTCAGAACATCTATTCTCTTTTATTTTACTAGGAAAGGCAGTCTGACGTGAAAAACATGCCTGCACATAATATTACCAGGTCCGTATCAAGCATTTCTCAAAAATTAGCTTATAAGAAGGAACTGTGTTTTTTCCTAAAGTTTTTCGGGTTTTTCCTTGACGTGAAACAATTTTTTTACTTCCTTTTTTAAAAACCACTCCTGGTATATTTGAGAGACATATAAAATAATCCAGCAGTAAGAGGAAGCTGAAGGTTTGGGAGCTTGGAATCCCAGATACTGGTTGGGAGCAAAATTTTACTGTGGTTCAATTACATGTTCTGTTAAGAAGGTCAATTTAAAAAAAAGCATGTGTAAACACACGCAATTCATTTAAGGTCAAAGATACAAGTCAAATTACCAGCTACATAGGAATCTTAACCTTAAAGACTGTAACAGAGTTTTTTATTTTGTTTTGTTTGTTTTGGTCTAATGTAGGTCCTCTGTTTATAAACACTAACCACAGGCCTGCCCTGTGGTAGGAGGGTGGGCAAAGTTGAAACAACAGAAAACCTGCTGCTAACTGTGATGAGAGAAAATGGGATCAGGCTCTGTGCCCCACTTTGCTTATTCAACGACCCCTTTCTTTAGTCCAACTCTGTGAATAGAGCCCAACATTTCACAAGCACAAAAGAAATGAAGAACACAAAAGACCACAGAAGCTGCTTTCTAAGTTCTGAAATATTTCAATTTGCAATAATCGCGCCTCGGATAAGCCTCATTGGCTACGATAAAGCAATTTTGCTCTCTGGATAGGTAAAAGCTATTTATAGTTCACCAGCAATGAAAACAAAAATGTAGGTCCTCAGATCTTACTTTTTGGCTGAATTTATAGATTTTCCTGCTTGGGTCTTCTGGGTCAGGTGCTTCTCCATCACGAATGGCACTCATAAGTGCCACCAATTCTTTAGGGACAGATACCTAATCAAGAAGAGAAGTCATTTCCAGTTCCAAAGAAAAGATTCTATGTATCCTTAATTTTTATATGTGTAAAATAACAGATTTCCCCCTTCTTAACTATGCGATAGGCAGTGAGCCCAGTAAGTTTGGACTTAGCAGGTTTATAAATAAACTAGCAATAAATAAAACTGGCTTCTTTAAAAATGAACGTGAATTATCTATCTATCCATTCATCCATCCATGTTAAGAGTATTTGGTAGAAACTAGATTAAAATTCCAGCTCTGCTACTTACTAACTGCATGGCCTTGGAAAATGACCTGCCTGAGCCTCAGTTTCCCCATCAAACAAGGGTAATAACCTCACTGGACTGCAGCAAAGAGTAAATTACGGAAGAACAATCCAGCAACCTTCCTGGCAGGGCTGGTCACCTGTGTCCTCCTCCACACCCTCAAAACAGATTCACAAGGTTGTATACTCACTTTAGGACAGCGAATACAGTTTTGAACAGTTTTATATTTAAACCATAAACTTGGAGTTACAAATCAAAAAGCTTTTTAAGGGTCATGATTGTGAGAAACTAAAAATTATTGCCCAGAGCTGTGAAATAACTTTCTCTGGGAATTTGTTTGGAAAAGACACTGACGGAGCAGAACTTAGGGTCATTTAAATGTATACCCAAGCTCTATGATTCTGAAAGTTTTATTTCTAAAGAATGCTAGAATCAAGGACTAGCCCTCCAATATTAATGATCTAGCAAACATACATCCCGTGAAGTTCTAGACTTTCATATTCTTCTTGCCTGGCCCAGTATTTAAAGTTATTTTGGAGGCAGACACAGAATCAGAACTTCCAAAGCCAGTACTACAACAACCATAAATCTAGAGCTAAAAAGCACTCGAGAAATGATTTAGTTCTGCTTCCTCCCTTCGTTTAGGCAGTGGTGTGTAATACAGATGAGACAACTCCAGGTTTTGAGGTCATAACACTTGCCCCAGGTCATGCAGTCAGTAAGTGTTAAAGAGTCCAAAACTGGAGATTCTTTGTCTCCGAGTATACAGTTTTCTACAGCACTATACATACTAGGTGTGGTTCGGCTGTGCGACGATCTTGGAATCAAGAAGCCCCCATAAAGACAGGTTGGTCCCCAATTCTATTTGCTTGGTCCAAGTAGGTCTGGCCTGGGACCTAGTATGTACATATGTAGGTAGGTATGTATTTAGTATCATTTAGTTAGTTAGGACTCACTTATTATTATAGTCCTTTTTGTAAAATGATTAGCAGTACCTACAAGAATCAGGTGGGAACGTTCAGGTAAGTCTGCAATCTAAGCCTGTTAGGGGACCTAGACAGAGGTTCACGTGGCTATAGAGTGCATTTCTAGAACCTATAATCCTACAAATGTTAATTTTTAAAAGTTAAAAGACATTGTCCCCAAATTTTTGTCTTAAGATCTGCTATTCTGAATTTCCTTTAAAATCAGAATAGTATCCATTTCCTCTTACTTTTTGGCTGAATTTATATATTTTAGAAATGTTCAAAACTGCCTTTAGAAAGAGAGATGCAGGGGCACCTGGCGGGCTCAGTCACTGGAGCGTGTGACTCTTGATCTCAGGGCTGTAAGTTCATGCCCCAAGTTGGGTGTAGAGATTACTTAAAAATAAAGTTTTTAAAAGAGAGATGCAAAATGAGGTCCACAGCTTCTTTGTTATTTTTCATGTAGAATTTAATTAAGTAAAATATTACTAACTATAAAAATCCAACTCTTCACTCTGCTTATCATTTATACCACATTTACTTACAGGAGTCATTTAATTTGGTTAATAATTTGTGATACTTACCTCTGCACTGTAGGTTAATTTCACAGAAGGAGTGTCCTGACAAGGAAGAATTGCTCTGCAGTGGATGGCCTGGGAAGGGGGAGGGGAAAGAAAAAGCTATTCCCCTTTCTTATAGATCAAGTTGTTAAGAAATCATTAAAATTGCAGCACTGCCCTTAGACACGTTCTTTTAAAAAAATATGTCTCATATTTTTTTCAGCTCTTTTGAAGGAACAAAAATAGACTTGTGGATAGAAAAGTCTGATTTCCCATTTTATTTTTTTTTTTAAAGATTTTATTTATTTATTAGAGAGAGAGAGAGCACAAGCAGGCAGAGGCAGAGAGAGAAGCAGGCTCCCCACTGAGCAAGGAGCCTGATGCGGGACTCAATCCCATGACGACCCAGGGATCATGACCTAAGCCAAAGGCAGTGGCTTAACCAACTGAGCCACCCAGGCGCCCCTGATTTCCCATTTTAATGTACGGTCAATCCTCACAGTTCAGCTGAAGCATGAAGCAATGTTAAGCATTGTTTCTTGTTCACCGCCCTGAGTAACAGCAGTGCTCAGTGAGATGCTATTAGGGACCCCGAGGAAAAAAAGGGCTCTTTAGTGAAATAAAACTGAGAACCATGCATACTACATTCCTGTCTTACAGAATCATTTGGAGCATTAGCCTCCTGGAGACTGAAAAGACCCACAATAAAGAAACCTGTTTGAATTCTTACACTTGTTTTAACAGGAAACCATCTTGTTCTGGTTAGTTATTAACATTTAATGGGACGCCCGTGTTCTGAGGAGAACTGTGTGGGGAGTGTTGCTAGAGGCTTGACATTCCAATCTTGCAGCAAACTTTGAAAGTAAAAGTTAAGAAGAAAAGGAGGGAAAAGAACAGCCTTTCTCAATACCATCTAGACTCCTATTTACATTTGAGTCTAAGGTTGTGTCTATCACTTAGGAATACTGAGAGGATTAACTGTGCAAAGTACCTAATAAAAACTACAGTAAGTGTTTAATGAAATGAGTTCCTTTAATTGTAAATTATTTAATTACTAACAGAATTAGGTTTTTTCCCCTTTTAGAAGGTAGTTTAATATGTATTACCCTTGTGACAGATTGTCTCTAATGATAGGATTCTTTATTCTTAGTTTTAAAAGAGAAAACAGAAATAGTTTAAATTGTACATTTAATATGTTTACATAACATATACATTTGTTAAAGTATAAGGAAAATCTGGAAATGGCTGCACACCTATCTCAGTGATGGTTACTTCTGGGCAACAGTGTGTGGAGAAGATTGAAAAATCTGACCTTTCACTTTCCATTTCTTTACTGTTAACATTTTTCATAACCAGTACCTATTACTTTCATCTTATTAATTTTTTCCTTTCTATTTTATAATGATTTCTTGAGTGCCCACTCAGGAAATATGACCTAGACAGTCCACTTTAAGTGGACATGATTTCAAACTGAAGGGCGTTTCTTTTTAAAAGTGATATATGAATGTGTTAATAATGAGGTATCAATGAAAATGCATATCATTTTTATTTTATTTTATTTTTTTTTAAAGATTTTATTTATCTACCCGACAGAGAGAGAGAGATCACAAGTAGGCAGAGAGGCAGGCAGAGAGAGGAGGAAGCAGGCTCACCGCTGAGCAGAGAGCCCGATGCGGGGCTCGATCCCAAGACCCCGAGTCCATGACCTGAGCCGAAGGCAGAGGCCTAACCCACTGAGCCACCCAGGCGCCCCGCATATCATTTTTAGAACATAAATTAAAACGCTGTCTTAGGGAAGACCCGAGTATCCATAAGACCACTGTCCACTTTGCTTCAGTAAACTGTGCTGGGAGTCTTTTTGTACAACAAGTCATTCCAGATCTTTTTTACCTGGCACTGACTAAAGAGATAGGGGTGTTCCTTCCCAGAAGTTTGTTCAGGAGTGAGCCACTGAAGAGCCGAAGACTTTGGAGAGGTCTCAAAAGAAATTTCTATAACGACTTCTTGATTTCTGTATGCAACAAACAAATACATTAGTAGAGTATAATTCAATCTAACTGAAGTTTGAATTCATAACACAAAGACTAAATGATATAGATAATAATTTATAAGGTCTTGTTACTGATGGCAAGTCAGCTGTAGGAATGCTGGGTCCTCATGTTCCTACCTGATGGCTACCTCTGGCTGCCTTCTACGCTATTGCTCTAAGTGCTTCAGAAGACGTAACAGGGACCAATATTCGTCAATGACACCACTGTGTGTCACACACTTTGCACCTGTGGTATCACGCAATCTTTCATGACAGCGGGAAAGTGGAAGAAAGAATTTTGGAACTTTGACTACCACACAGCGGTGGGTGCTGGAGCATGACACAGAGTAGTACTGGTCTGCAAACGGGTATGGGACCAGTCAAGAAATGGAGAGTAAGCATTTAGAAGCTTTTAGAGTCACTTTAATGTCTGTTGAATCTTAGGGATCAAAAAAGGGTGCTTGCTTTTAATCTCTTCTTCCTAGTAACTCACTTTTATTGCATTGTATAAAAGAATGGGTCTGTGACAGATTGGAAATAACAAGAACTGGTCCTTGGCCCCAGATAGTTTGAGCAGCACCAATAATGAGGAAATAGCAAAGAGCAGGGGAGAGGAGCGGCATGCCTGTGTGTGAATCGTGACTCTGCCACCTACTGGTGGTGCTGTGAACTGGGCAAATGACTTGGCCATTCTGTGGCAATTCTTGATCTGTAGAATGGGGTCAGTAAGTTACGTGTGGGTGTTTCCCTTCTTTCTCTTTTCCTTTTTTTAAGATTTTATTTATTTTATCTGAGAGAGAGAGAGCATGAGAGAGAATGAGCATGAGCAGGGTGCCCCATGTGGGGCTGGATGCCAGGACCCTGGGATTATGACCTGAGCTGAAGGCAGACACTTAACGCTTAACTGACTGAGCCACCCAGGCAGCCTGCCCTTTGCTTTCTTAAACAGGAAGAGAAGGCATGAAAACATTGGCCTTTGAAAGGTGGGGTCGATCACCTTTGTTTTAGGCCGATGGTTTTCTACCCTTTTTTCCCTTCCTAATTTATCAAGGAGTGGGATATACTCCCAATATGACAATTGTGGCTGCCTCTTTCTTGAGTAAGTTACTTTATTTCTCTGAAGTTCCCATTCCTCATCTGTAAAATGGAAATCAAACCGCAAAGGGCTACCATAAGAATTAGAAAAAGGAATGTGTCGGGGCGCCTGGGTGGCTCAGTGGGTTGAAGCTTCTGCCTTCGGCTCAGGTCATGATCCTGGGGTCCTGGGATCGAGCCCCGCATCGGGCTCTCTGCTCAGCAGGGAGCCTGCTTCCTCCTCTCTCTCCGCCTGCCTCTCTGCCTGCTTGTGATCTCTGTCTGTCAAAATAAATAAAATCTTAAAAAAAAAAAAAAAAGAAAAAGGAATGTGTCTAAGGCATTAGCTTAAGACTGGTACACAGAAGCCATTCTATGTATGTCATTGTCATTATCGCATTAATAAAAGTGGCCGGCCTTTGGGGAAAAAGTGAAAACTGCAGCTTGGAAGGACTTCCCAGATCCTGAAATGCCTCCTTAAGACGGCATGCTCCCATCATCACTCCAGATCACTCCCATGATCAGTAAAGAAGTAACAGTTATCAAAAGTCCTATTCTTGAGTATTTCATACAACGAATTTCTTTAGAGTCTTAAGAACATATAATTTTCACTATAAGCTTTAATCTGAACAGATCAGTAAGAGCACCAATTACTACATACACACAAACTAGAAATAGGAAAGGAAAACTGTCTAAATTAAAAACATTTTCTCCATCATTTAGTTATATAAAAGAGAAGGATAACATTCATACTTGCTCAGAGCAATAGGAAGAGAGATTTCCATTGGTGATCCTTTGTAACTTTGTCTTTCTCCAAGAGTATATTTGACTTCTTGTCCATTGATGACTGCTTTTTCTATCGTAAGGTCCTTTGTATCCAAGGTCTAGAATTAAGTTAGTATTTTTAAATGATAAGAAAATTGCTTAGTATGTACCAGAGAAAAGTAATATTAGATAGAGGTTAACTATAATGATTACAGAATAGAACTAGTTGCTCATAGAAAGTAAAATAGAGTGAAATTACAAGAATTAAAGGAGCCAAATATTAGTGTAGGTCCCATCTCTTGGGACTCTATGCTTCCCGAAAGATTTTTCATTCTAAAGTTTGCATATATGTATAAATGATAATTAGGTAATTCTGGGATAGTCACACAAATTTAAGGTTTTAAATATAAGTCTAATCTAACTTAGAATGTCTTTGCTCCTGTCTCCTAAAACTTCCCTGCCAAAAAAAAAAAAAATCTATAACTTAAGTTTCTTTCATCATGAATCCTTGATGTATCTAATCATATATTTCTTCCTGGAATTCATATAGTCCAGCTCCTATGTACTTTCATATATCCGAAATTTAAAACAAACCTTGGCAGTCATTAGGCAAATAAGTGGGCTGTACATTACCGTTATGTATATAGAAAAAGCCTGACCTGGTGTGCCAAGTCCAACTGAAAGACCTATGGAAAACTGAGAGCCTATCTACTTGCTGTGGCCCATTAAGGACAGTTAAAGACTTTCCTGCTTTACGCAGGAGAGGAGTGGCAGCGAGCATCTGAGTGTTTTCCATCCCCCGAATCCTCTGAGCCCTAGAGACCATACCTTTCACTATCTCTCAACTCATCTCTTGTTTTAGAATCTTCGATCTTCCTGTGCTGTAAGACAGCTTCCAAACAACCTAAACACATCTTCCATCTTACGTTTAAAACTTCTCTTGATCCTTCTGCCCTGATAACTATTCATCCCTTTCTTAAACTCCACGGGCAACCTGTGGCTGCTGTTTCCACTTCTTCATCAATTTCTCCTCCTTCCCTCTCTTCAGTCTGGCTTGCAGCAACTCTGCTACTGAAAGGGTAGGGCATGCCTCCTGATCAAGAGGTCTTCTCTGCTCAGTCATCTGGATCTCCATCCCCTCATAGCCCTTATAGGCCACACCATCTGTTTGAAGTCCTTTCCATGGCTTCTTTGACTTTACACATAAATGGTTTTCTTACTCGTCTAATGCTATCCCCCCCACACCCGACTCCTTTCTAGCTAAAAATGGATTTGTCCCAATGTTCTAGCCTCAATCCCTTGATTTTTTAAAAAAGATTTAATTTATTTATTTGAGAGAGAACGTGAGCAGGGGGAGGGGCAGAGGGAGAAGCAGGCTCCCTGCTGAGCAGGGAGAACCCCTATGGGTTCTCATCCCAGGACCCTGGGATCTTGAGCGGCTTAACTGACTGAGCCATCCAGGTGCCCTGGATCCCTGGATTTTCTTACCATAACCGACACTCCCTAGTTCTCGCTCATCCCGTATCATCAATCAATTCCTCTCTGCCGATGAGTACGGTCTGTTTCTATGGCTGGTATCCCTTCCCCAGGACTGCCGCTGGATCTCTCTTGCCCGCTTGACATTTCCATGGGCAATATTGCCTCATAGTCAGTGGCCTTCTAAAAATTCTAAAAACAAAGCTAGCCTTATGTCCCCTCATCAGTTCTCTCTGCTGATTTCTCCCTTCCGTTAACAGAATCCACAAGGTACCTAAGATTTGAGATATTCAAATAATCCACAATTGATCCCTTTCCCAAGCCCCATGGCCAATTAACACGTTTTTCTTTCACACCGTCCTTAGACTTTCTTCTCTTTCCTTCTACCACCGCTCTCGGTCAGACCCTGCCTTAGAACTACATGTGATGCGGATTCTCTACCTCTGGCATCTTTCTATTGAAATTGGCCGGCAATAGCACCGGGAGTTAGAAGGCCGGCTGCCTCTCTTTCAAGTTAGTTAATTGCACGATAAGCTCAGGAAAAGTTACAGCGGCAATCATTAATTTGATTCCTACCTCTCTACAGTCAGCAGTATTTGGGCAGAAAGAAATCTCCATTCTGTTTTTTGTTTTTGTTTTAAAAGCACCTAAATTTGTTCGGGGTGCCACCTGTTTCCCTCTGATAGGTAATTATTCCTTTCGGGTTAACTTTCTCTCAGGGGTACCTCAACGATTGCTACTCTAAATTAGTAGAACTGACTTAGCTTCTTGCACTTGCATATTCAGAATATTTGGTTTTATTAGGTCTACATCTTATTAAGAATAGGGTTCCTCCTTTTGCCCTTCATATTCCAGGATCTATTTCTGGCTATCGGACTTATTTTAGAAACTTGATTACAATATCTATGTCTGTAACTTCTCATGTTTATACTACTCTTTTATCACGGGATGAATCAACTGACTTCATTTCCCAAGGGGCATATGTGATTATCTGTATTGCCTAAACTGTTCTAATTTAATCAGAAATCAGAAGGGCCAGATTAGGGTGCCTGGGTGGCTCCATGGGTTAAGCCTCTGCCTACAGCTCAGGTCATGATCTCAGGGTCCTGGGATCAAGGCCCGAATCAGGCTCTCTCCTCAGTAGGGAGCCTGCTTCTCCCTCTCTCTCTGCTTGCCTCTCTGCCTACTTATGATCTCTCTTGCTGTCAAATAAATAAATAAAATCTTAAAAAAAAAAAAAAAGAAGAAGAATTGAAAGCAGGGACTTGAACACATATTAAAAGAAAAAAAAAGAAAGGAAGAGCCAGATTATTGTCTTGATTATTTTTTAAAAATCTTTTCAAATCCTCCGTACTTATTAGTCAGTCCAAATCTCTCCTCTAGCATTTACTGTACCACATTAGAATGGTATGTGTTTTCTATTAGATGGAGGATTCTTAAGAAGACGTAGAATGTTACTTAGGCTTGCATTCCCAGAGTTTAGCACAGTGCCTGAAAAAATTGTAGGTATCAATTAATGCATTAAGCAAACCCTGAGCCAAGGGAAAAGAGAAAAATGCACTGTTTAAGCTGTGTATTGCCAAGTCTTAACCTCAACTATCATTCTCAAATAACTTAAGAAATTCCCCCTCAAATTTCACTAATAAATGTTATTAAACAATTGATCAAAAACAGTGATAGAAAAAAAAAAGAAAACTGGGTAGCTGAAAAGTTGGAACTAGTACTTTTCAACAAAGTTTCACTGAATACCAACTATATATGTAAGGCCGAGATACCATAAGTAGTTACAGGAAACAGACTACCAATAGTAGGAAGTTACTAGGGATATAATTTACTGTATCTCACAGTATCCTCTTTGAATAACACCCCAAAAAACACTTCTAAGCAGCTGGCTAATTGCCATGGAATATATAACTAATTCCCTTTTTGCACAGGCTGCTGGGAAGCTCAAGTAAGCCTCCCAACCCACTTCTTTTTCCCTTGGGCTATGTGTTTCGTTTTCCCGATCCTTATTCTCTCTTCCTCTGAATTCTTAAGTTATTTTTAATTATACTGTATATGTTGTTTTAAACAGACTCAAATTCTTTCTGTGACAAAGCATGGCTTAAATAAAAAAGCTTTAGTCCTCAGTATTATGTCTCTATTTACATTTTCTGTTATTTGCAGGGTGCTGCAACTTTTAAAAAAAATTTTTTTTTTTTTAATTGCAGCACCCTGCAAAGTTTGGTTTTGATTTTGGTTGTTTTGATTTGGGTTTTAAAACCCAAATCAAAACCAAACTTTAATTTCGTTTCCAGCTCTAGTGAACACTAGAGGGGTTTGCAGTCAGAAAGATCTGTGTTCACTTCATGGCTTCTGCCACTTACTAGTATATGATCTTGGCCAAGACATTAAAATCTCTTTGAGCCACCAGCTGACAGAACTAAAAAGTTGCAAACTTCAATAAAAGAAACAAATGCTTGGAAGTTATCACCAAAGAATCCTGAACTTGAGCGCAAATAACCCAAACTTCAAAAGGATTTTTAGAAAAGCTGGGATTTAGTCCTAGTAGAGCTCCTTCAACATTTCCCCAGCTTCAAGGACTTCAAGAATGGAGACAGCAAGGACACTTGATGTCCTCACCAAGCACTGCCACTAGGTCCTTTCTATTGGTGGTGGTGAGGTATGGTGTTTTCTCACCTTCAAGACACTGTTAGCACTATTATTAGTGTGGCCCATATTAAGGTTTAGGCACTGCACTCTAAATGAATTCATCCATTAGTTCATCAAACTTTTTGAGTGTCCTCCACATGGCAGGTGCCATACTAAGAACCTGATAGAGCCATGAAACAGTCCTACCTTCAAGAGACTGTATTCTAGTGAAGGAAAGAAGCTGAATTTGAAGAAATAAAACCCAACTCTTGGTCTCAAGCTGTCATTGCAAATAAGCAAACAATTAAAAACAGATGTCACTCTACCAAACTAGCCTTCCTTGTATAAAATCTAACATTATTATCATTCTAGGCTCTAATTTACCAAACAGACATGCCACCCACAAATCATGATTTGAAAGTCTTCTCTCAAGATGTGGGGAATGCAAAAACAATGGGCAGCTTTGAGATTAGGCCACTGAAGGCACATTCTTTTCAAAATTTAGGCATCTTGTCCCTTGCTTCCTCAAGGATCAGAGTTAAACCTTTATTTTTACAAAACAGGTGAACGTGCAAGGTCATACTAAATAGTAATAAACTATCAAAATCTACTTTCTTATAATAAAAAGGGAAATCTCATTGAGATGGGACTTTGGCCAATCCTGCCTGGGCAAAGCTGCCTGCAATGAAAGATAGCATGGTACTTCAAGTTGACCAAAGTACAACCTACAGGGAAATGGTTATCTTCTTGCTTGTAATACCTTATTTTCTTCCTTATAGTGCTTTTGGTGATTAAATATCAACACATAGAGGAGTCGACCAACTTTTCAAATCGGCATTAGTCTAGCAAGATATTAAAGGACAAAGAGTAGGTTACCTGGTCTATTAGTTCATATTAATGAACTCAGAATACACGCCTATGACCCAAGGAGTCAAGAGAACCACCAATTCTTATCTAAACTTATAATTATGCCCAATTAATTGATCCCACTGATTTCCCACCACCAAGCCTACGACATTCAGTGATTAGGTTGCTTAATGGCCTGCTTAAGTAGGTATCCCAATGCTCTATGCACCATACACTGTGGCTGGTCTTTTGCTGTCCCTCTTATTTCCAAAATTCTCACCTATGAAATCCTTCAGGTGAAAGGTACAATCTAAATACTATCACTTTGAGTAAGAACACCGAAAACAGGTTATGTTGTACAGAGAAAATAATTTAATAACATTCCATAAATCTAAACAAGTTTTTCATCACTGAAGTGGCTTAGCGATGTTGTAGAAGTCTATTTCTAAGAAGCGCAATAATTACTCGCTCCTTGAAACCAGCTATGTAATACACTGTATTGAGATATGCTTAGAAAGCCTGAATGGCCCACCCTCATTACATTAACAGAAGAGAAGGGTGATAAAGATACAAGGACCACGATCCTGGAAAAAAAAGAGCTGCATCTAGAGTTAGCAGAGACTGAAAGTATCAAAGCAGTGGAGAGGGGTTTGAGAATGGGTGGTAGAGAGACTGAGGACAGACTCCGATGGGTCGAGGGGTACTATCCTGCATTAGTGCGGGTTGAAATAAGGTGCCTGCGAGGAAAGGGTCGGATCAACATCGACAGGGCATACGGTCTGAGACTTAGATGAGACGATGGCCTGAGGAAGGTGGGCTGGGGACTGGAAGAAATTCGGGGCCCGAGAAGGGAGTTCCGGGCTGCAGGCCAAGAAAATGGGGAGGCCACAGGGGGCTTAGCGTTGGGAACGAGGATAGCGGGGAAGGGAGGATTCGGGCTAAAATGAAGCCTGAAGCTGGATGAGGGCAGGACGTAGATGCGGCGCTGGGCTGTGCCTAAGAACTGAGGAGGGGAGTCTGGCGAGTGGGGTGCAGGAAGGGTCACTGAGGTGTATGCAGCGGGTGACGAAGGGACGCAGAGACAGAAGTGGGATTGGGAGGAGGCGATATAGGGTGAGTGGGGGCCGAGGAAGGGGAGGCTGAGAAATGAGTGAGGGTGAAAGGGAGGTGCGGAATAATGAGCTGCGGGCTGCGGAGGGGCACCGAGGGATGCGCGAGGCAGACCCGAACGTGGGGCTGGGAAGGGGCAGCAGCGGGGTGAGGGACGAGAAGCAGGCGGCCGGGGAGAGGCGGGCACTGGGCGCGCGTCCCACCGTACCAGGCTTCGCAGATTGTCCTCCTGAGACTGCACCGTGAGCGCGGCGGTGCCGGTGAGCACCCGGCGGGTAAAGTCGACGCTGCAGCGCAGGTGCAGGTGCTTGGTTCGGCAGACCGAAGCCGGAGAGGCCAAGGAGCATGTATCCACTACCTCGGGCATGGCTCTGGGGAGTCTCTCCGCACGCGGATGCGCACCCTTAAACCAGCTGCCAGACTACTCGACTGAGAGGTAGAGGAGAGAAGGAGGGAGGTAAAGAAGAGCAAGACCGACTCGTGACGCCCGCCGGGAAGGGAAGTTTCGTAAAGTGAGAGAAGAGCGAGGTATAGCGTGGATGGAACTACAAGTTCCGTGGTGCAGCGCGAGAAGGAGTGCGCTTTGCTTCCTGGGAGTGTGTGTGTGTGGAGGGGAGCTGAGAGGACTGGGAGCATTCCTGAAAGGGGAGGAGGAGGAAGAGGAGGGGAGTGGGGGCAGCTGGAGGATGGGTGGGCTGACGGAAGTGATCAGAAGTGCAACGGGGAGAACAACTGGATGCTTCCATTTTAGTTTCGTTCGACTTCGGTGGACGTTGCAATAACAATGCAAGAATGTCAGAAACTTTGATGACAGCCAATAGTGAGGGCGGGGGAGGGTGATAAGCAATAAAACTCTTGTCGGAGGCGCGGCTTCTGTGTAGTTCCTCGTTAGTATAGTGGTGAGTATCCCCGCCTGTCACGCGGGAGACCGGGGTTCGATTCCCCGACGGGGAGACACGGGAAAGCTTTTGTTTTAATCGTGATGTAAATATTTCTCCCAACGTTTTAAAAGTTAATATGAAAGAAAGTCAAATTAGTTGTCAACTTTACATTTTAAGAGTTGTTTCATTACTGGCTTGCCATGTTGGCAACCCAACATACGCTAAGTTGTGTCAGTTCAACAAATTTTTCTTTATTGCTACTTACATACATTTCCAGGCCCTGGAGAGCAAAAACTGAATAAGCCAATATTCCCATTTTAGAAACCTAGGAAGGTCATTTCAATATACTGTAATGAGAGAATTCTATTATAGGAGTATGTGCTGGTGGCAACACTGGAGTGCAGAGCTGGGACATCTAGCTCAGCTCTGGGGCCCTTTCAGAAGGTGAGGAAGGGTTGAAGGATGATTTGTTTTGGGGATGGGACCTCAGAGTTGAAGCTGTAGAGACTGGAAGAGGGCTGGCCTCAGAGGACTCCAAATAGTTGGATCTTTAATCCTGAATTCATGAATGGGGGCCCCCTGAAGAATTTTAAAGGCATGAGGAACATGGTCAGAGTCATGTCATCCAGAGAACACTGGTAGTTCATTCGGAGAATGGATAGGAGTTATCAAAACCAGAAGCATGTGAGTTAGGAAACTGTTAATAGTCCAGGAAGAAGATGTGGTGGCCTCACATAAGGAATAAGTAAAGATAGAGAAAAGGAGGGGAATGGAAGGAATATTTAAGAGATAAATGGATACACAGATTAAGAAGCCTAAAATGATTCTCAGATTTTTGACTCCGGTGTGTGGGCAATCATTAACCAGAGACAGAGACCATCTGAAGAGGACAGATATAGGTGGGGATGATGTAAATTTAATTTTGGACATTCCAAGTTTGAGAGCGTATGGGACTCAAGTGGAGATGTCTGTGAATCACTTGGTGTTTAAGTCCATGCTCTGGGGAAGTTTATGGTAGATTTGAGAAGGTCACGTAATGTGGTAGGTAAAGCTATGACCATGGATGAGCTCAGACCAAGTAGCATGTGTAAAGAGAAGAGCAGTGAAAATAGGTTGAACTCTGGGAGAGCACGAGCTTTTAACAAAAAAAGGCTGAAGGATGGAGGCAGTCCTCTCACAACGTATGCATATATCAAATCACCACAATGTACACTTTAAAGATCTTACAGTTTTGTCAATTGTAGCTGAGTAAAGCTGAAATTTTTCAGAAGGGGGGAGTAGAGTAAGAAGAACTCATGAAATAAATTCAGAAGAGCCAATCAGCAATGTTAAATCCAGGGAGGACCATTAAAATAAGGAGTAAAAAGCCTCCTTTGGATTCAGCAATGGGGGCGGATGTGGGAAGTTGGTGGTTTTGTTGAGTTCTGTGGAAGTTTTGTGGAAGCTGGATGCCAGAGAGCAATAGGTTAAGCAATAAAAAAGAAGAGGGTAATAGAACACAGGCTGCTCTGTCAAGACGTTTGGCCAATTTGAGAAAGGAAGACAAAAGAGGAATAGAGAGGCGTATGGCATTAAGAAAGTGTTCTTTATTTCTTTAGGGAAAGAGAACCTTTAACATGTTTAGATATAGGGATGAAAGGGTTTCTAGAGAAAATTAAAGATTTAAGAAGTGTAGGAGATAGTTGATAACTTGAGCCTTGGCCAGTGCTCCATAACTCCATTCTGTAGCAAAATGATCTAACAATGAAATCTGGCTCCAGTAACAGAAAAAGATGTTATGTAAGGGGGTGTCCAGGTGTTGGCCCCAGCAAGGCAAAGGAAAACAAAATAAAATTAAAACATGCCAAACCATGAAATCCAATGTCTTATAAATGCAAAAGTCTGAATTTTATATGGCCTAAGAATCCATGATGTGGTTGATATTTGCATACATTTTTTGAGGCCTAAAAATATTCTAGATGTTCCTAAATCAAGGGTGACAAACATGGTGCAGTAGACTTGATTTAGTCAAAGAATACACAATCAAATGATCTTCCTTATGGAGAAAGGATAATTTGTTTTTCTTAATAAAAGAATGTCAATATCATTGACTTCCATTATTGACTACCAGGAGCCCACAGAGTTTATGCCACTGTGTTTAAGAAGATAGTCACAGGCAGGGGCGCCTGCGTGGCTCAGTGGGTTAAGCCTCTACCTTCGGCTCAGGTCATGATCTCAGGGGTCCTGGGATTGAGTTCTGCATCGGGTTTTCTGTTCGGCGGGAAGCCTGCTTCCCCCTCTCTCTCTGCCTGCCTCTCTGCCTACTTGTATTCTGTCTGTCAAATAAATAAATAAAATCTTAAAAAAAAAAAAAAAGAAGATAGTCACAGGCAGCTGCAAATGAATGCCTCAAATTTATTAATAGATTAATCAAAAGACAGATATACAGTAGCAATTATTTTCTAAGATCCTGCTGACACCCAAATATAGAGTGTACAAAATTAGCAATTCACAAACAATAGAAGTGTCCTTCATATCCCGTGGTGGATTGGGAAAGTTTAAAAAATGAAGTTTTCCATTGCTTCTATAAAATAAGGATAATATCAGAGCTTATATACAAAAGGAGACTGTATTAAGGATAAAAATGATTGATAAAAGTTTTATAAAAAGAAGTATACATATATTTACACAGCCATTTGAACAGGAAGTATTCCAGCTTAACTGCTCACCTGGAAAAGTTACTAAACCACCGCAAAGTCTCAATCCTTTTGGGGGAAAAACTGAGATGCCTGTGTTTCATGGGGCTGTTGAAAGGATGAGATGAGATAAAGTATGTGAAGTGCTTAGGGTTGTGCTTGGCATTGTGATTATCTATTACGTGTTTGCCAGTATTATTTCTATGGGTTTTTATTTTGTCTATTTTGTTAATTTTAATACATATTATTCCTTGTTTTGTTAGCAAGAGTTTTTAGGGAGACTTGGGAAATGAGAAGCAACTAAGACATGGGAAACAAACAGATCGTGCCAAAATAGACTTTTAAAAGAGTTTGCAACGATCATCTTTCTGAAATACATTTTTTGAAATATATTTATATTTAGGAAATTCTGGAAATTGTAATAGGTGCATTAACACATGACTTCCTGTTTCCATCATGTCTAGCTCTGCAGGGGTGACATCAGTCAAGCTGAAAACAGCTTGTGTGAGATCTCAGCTCTCTCCTGCTCTTCCTTAAGCTTGAATCCCCATCCAGCCCCCATCTTTCCTGGAAAGAGTTCTCCTTTTCCCTCCCGGGACTCTGTCACCCCACCCTCCTATCTGGGCAGGAGTCTAGTAGAGTCTCATGTCCTAACAGAACAGAGGTGTATGTGATGCCCTTCCAATGGGTGAGAAAGTGGAAGAAATTATTTTAGCTCCTTTTTTTTTTCATGTTTAGCTCACAAAATGATTGAGGCAGCCCAGACCTGTTTCTCCATTTTTCTGTTAAATCTGTTTTTGTTTGTGCAAGAGTTGTATACTTACTATGCATATCTCTAGTGTGTCATGCCAAGAAAAGGTCTGGGCATCTGGGGAGGGCAGAGATAAAAGGAACACAAGACAAAGTTCTTCCAATTTAGTAAAATAGTATAAGGGATCCTCTCCACTTGTCCCCATGCTTCCCCCCATTCTGACCCCTATCCTGACTGAGAGCAGGCTAGATCTGGAAAGCCTCCCACAATGATTTGCTGTTTGTTCCTCTGCGGGTGCCCACTAGCCTGAACTGAATGGATTATCAGGCCATGATGGATAGGATGGCTGGTCACATGACCATCTCTCTTTTGCACATCAAGTATGGTTTCAAGACCCACAGTGTTAGTGTCTCCTAAAAGCCCCATCAGAAACACAGATCTCAGGCCCAGTGTCTGGCCTGCTGGATCAGAATCTGCATCTTAGTAAGATACTCCCAGTGATCAGTGTGCATATTAAATGAAACCACTGCCTTAGAGGCTGAAACGATACTTTTGGGATTGGAGGAAATTCAGTTCAAGAGTTTCTAAGACATGTCAGGACTCCTTTTGGAGTTCTGGCCCTGGATCCTCAAATCAGTACTCCTGTTATCCTCTGTCAACTCCAACACAGCACCTACCAGGCCACGTAAATGTCGGCCTATTTGTCCTTCCCCCTGATGAGATGGCCTGTCCTGAATTTCCAGATGAAATATTTTCCCTCTCTGAGCATGTTCTTTGGATGGATAAACAAAGGTATAAATGAATAAATGAGATTTCCCATGAGGCCCCAGGGATCCTTTTACTCAGTGCTTTATTCTTTGTTGACCCTGGGACACAGAGAAAGCTGCCTTGTGAACTCTGCCTTCGGCTCAGGTCATGATCCCAGCAGGATCCTGGGATCGAGCCCTACATTGGGCTCCCTGCTCAGCAGGAAGCCTGGTTCTCCCTCTCCCACTACCCCCTGCTTGTGCTCCCTCTCTCTGTCAAATAAATAAATAAAATCTCAAAAAAAGAAAGAAAATACCCTTTACCGTCCTCTTGCTAATGGGAAACACTTACTTTACAGAATCTTTATGGACGCATAGTATCCACTCATAAAAGTGCACTCCTCGTAAGTGTATAGCTCACTGAGCTTCGTAAACGGAACACGCA